TCCATCCTCCAGAAGAGCTCTATAGATCATTTCTCCATAGAGTTGCCTTTCCTCTTGTTCTTCTGAGGATAACTCCTGATCAGCAAACCATTCATCGGATTGCTCTTCCTCCCATTTCCAGTCCCATTGACCGTTGGAATCTTGGTACCATTGACCATCACACCATGAATTTCCCCACCACGCATCCCAGCCGCCGTCTTTCCATTTGCGCTGCGCTGGAGAAGAGTCCTCATCGTCCTCTTCAAAAACTAGGCAGGAATCTAAAATCACAGTGCCATCATCATCCACCCACTTCACTGTCGTGCAGACAGTGTCACCAATTTTGAAAGAGGGTGTGTTTTTTCCTTCTTCAGGAATCAGCACATTCAGATCACCGTGTTCCAAAAAGGCTCCATATACATTGATGCAACGCACCAGAGCAGTGATCCTATCTCCGGCTTGATAACAATGCTCCCCAGGTGTCACCAAGGCTCCCTCATTGGGCACTTCCTTTGCCTGTTCTTCAGAAACCATCTCTGTATCATCGGCTCCTGGAACATCCCTTGTTTCCACCTTTGGGTGAAGCTGCTTGTCCTGCTCCTGCACGAGTCCCACAAGATCATCCACCTTGTGCTCAAGGGGTTCAGGACCTTCCTCTTTTCCAGCCAATGGCTTTGCCTCATCTGTTACAGTTCGCTCGGTGTCGACTTCCGGCAAGCTTTCAGACGGCAATACTTCCCCCTTCGTGGGAGTGGACCCATCATTGGAGTCTTTTGTCAAACCTTCTGCAGCAGGCAAATTTTCTTCCACTGCAGGGCTATTGGATTGCTCATCCGCGGCAGGGACATTTTCTTCCACCGCAGGCTCCTTTGGCTCCATGGTTTCCAAAAGAGAATCACCACCATCATTGACCACAGCTGCCTCATTGGCTCCGGTGTAGCCTTTGCTATTTCGTTCCTCGCTGCTAACTTCAGGTTGCACCAGTGCGTCCACCTGTGAACCTCCGTCGTCAGCTGCTACGGAGACCTGCGCCCCATTGTTGCAGTCGTCCGCGGAACGTGACACCATATGCGCCTCAACCCGTGCTTCCTCCGCACTCCAGGTACTATCTGGCACATTGACCCGCGCTTCATTGGCGCTCCAGGCCTCATCTTTCAAATCGACCGTGTCTCCAGCTATTCCAGAAGCTTCTTTTTCCCCTTGAATGGCAGGATTCCTGGCACCAAACGAAGAGACCTCCTCAGTCGTAACGCACAACTTTTTCCCTCCGTCATCCAAAGCTCCAGGACCACCTTCCTGAACGACAGGTACCACATCCACCACTCGCTCTTCTGCAGCCGACACAGTTCCAATCTCCGCATTGGGCATTTTTTCCTCTGGACCCACCGATTCCACCGCTGCCACACCCTCAGAAAGCGCTTTCATCTCTTCCCGATCCAGATGTTTTCCAGCGATGTCTGCTCGGATTCCAGAAATTCCTTCCTCATCAGGAGAACCCGAGGTCTGGGCGTCACCACCAGCCCTAAAACCGCTATCCCTGATAGTAGAGGAAAAATCTTTTTCACCTACACTATTTACACTACCCTGGAATGCCCTCGTAGACTCAGGCGTCGGAGTAGATGATGAAGAACCCAGTGCAGCCTCCATTTCCAGCTCATTGCCCGAAGGAGACCCAACCACCTCGTCACTCTTCATCTTTTCACCTACAGCCGGCAACGTCCACTTGCTTTCCTGCGTATCCAGGCAGTAGTAATATTGTCTCCCATCTTCGTGGAAGTGCCATTCCCACGTTGTCCCATCGCACGCTTTGATCAGATGCTCATCTTTCCGAAAACCATCCATTTCAGAGACTTGACGCATCTCATCCTCTTCTTCTGACAACTGGCGCAACCTTTCAGCCTCCATCTGTAAGATCTCCTCCTCCCCCATGGCGTATCCACCACCTAGGGAACTCACCGAGGGATCCCCTTTAATCTTGTTCAGAGGCCTCCTGGCAGCTTGCAGCACCTCTCCACTCAGATTGGTCTGAGACCCTTGGTCCACCCTTCGGCCCGAAGTTGAAGACGACGGCTGATACCCATGCTTTTGCAACACGCGTAAAACAGTCACCTCCATTTCACGGTCTATACCACCAGTCGCGTCCCAGTTCCTTTTTTCACCAGGCTTTGGCGATACAGAAACAGCACGTCCTTCAGCTTCAGCATTGCTAACCATATCCACATTGGGATTCATACCCACATTGGGGCCTTCTGCAACCAAGGCTTCTTCCAGATGTTCTTCAGCGCCAGGCATTACCTCTTCCAGCACCGCCCTTTCACCCAGAGACTCAGCTGCACCATTTCCAGCTCCACCATTCTGACCACCATCCGAAGAAGGCTGGAGCCATCGCTTGGGAGAAGGCATTGCTTCTTGATCCCAAAAACCTTAAGAGAACACCCAACCGCAGGGAACCTAATTTGGGCTCATAACCTACGGGGGCAACCGAAAGGGGAAAGGAAAGAATCTCAACCCTTGGTTGCCTAAATGAACTCCCTGAACCGAAGAACACAACACAGATCCAGACAAGAGCACCCGAAGGAGAGAGGGGGATATCCTTACCAAAGTAACCAGACACCAACCCCAACTCCAAACCCCAGGGCACTACTTTTTGCTTTGAACAGCCGTTGTTAGTGACCATTCTTGAGCCACAAAGGTTACCAGGTTCATTGACCCTTTATCCTTCAACACCAACCCTTTTTCACAATACAAACTGCAGCTCCGCATAGGGTTCAGGGTTTCGGCTTTAGGGTTTAGGGTTTTGGGTTTAGGGTTTAGGGTTTCTTGTCAAGTGTGCGGCCCAGAAGCCAAAGCCGCTCTCGGTCGAGGTACATGGCACCTGGCTGTTGCGGCACTTTTGGAAGAGGATGGAGTGGGCCAGAACCACCCTAAACCCTAAACCCTAAACCCTAAACCCTAAACCCTAAACCCTAAACCCTAAAGCCTAAACCCTAAACCCTAAACCCTAAACCCTAAACCCAAACCCTAAACCCCAACTCCTCAACCCTATAGGCACTAGAGGCACTAAAACCTGAACCCTGCTGCGAAAGCTGTGCGCCCAAACAAAGTCTGAGGATGCCGGGCAAACTTGTCCACCCGGTCAAAAGATGACATGTTAACTGCACATTCGGCCTAGAACCTTAGAGCAAAAAGCACCAAAATCCCGAGCCCTACTTGCTGATGGTCAGCAGGCGTGCTTCCTAAACCCTGAGCCCTGAACCCTCTAGGTCCCAGACCCAGAATGCTGCCGCTAACCCCGGTTCCTGGGCTCCCGGCCATGGCTATCTCCCACATTGGGAATGGAAGTTCTCCGCATGATGTCGAAGTTGATCCCGAAGATGTAGAGCCGAGGTCTTGGACCGGGCAGCTCGGGCTTTGGCGCTTAGGGCCAGGATTTAGGGTTTAGGGTGTTTAAGAGTGCTCAGCATGTTTAGGGTTTAGGGTGCTTAGGGGGCTCTTAATCAGGGTGTTTAGGGTTTAGGGTTGAGGGTAGCGTTTAGGGTTAGGGTTTGGGTGTTTAGGGTGTTTAGGGTGTTTAGGGTGCTTAGGGTTTAGGGTTTAGGGCTGCAGGGAGCCTCTGCCTCTCGGTTTTGGGAGAGATTTCTGGGTTGCGCTGAGCACGTCAAGTTTGGAAGGCGGCTGGGAGGTCGATCCTTATCTCACCGCGGGAGGTTGAGGGTTTAGGGCTTAGGGTTTAGGGTTTTAGGTTGACATTTCTTCGCCAAACCCTAAGCCAGTGACGAGAAGAAGCCAAAGGACGAGCTTGAGGTTCGGGGCCTTGTCCCTTGCGCCACATCCCAATCCAAAGCCAACCCAACACCCAAAGCCAAAAAAAAACCCTGAAGCCCTGTTGTAGCCTCAGGCCCGTGGGCCCCTCAACCCCCTTAAATCACAGTTTAGGGTTTAGGGTTCAGGGTTTGGGGTTTAGGGTTTAGGGTTTGGGGTTTAGGGTTTTGGGGCTTGGAGCCTCCGCAAGCGCCCCATCGGAAGCCGCAGGAGGACCTCGTGACCCGAACTCTCGGCGAAGAAATGGATGCGGCTAAGCCTGCCAGGAAGGGTTTAGGGTTTAGGGTTTAGGGTTTAGGGTTTAGCGTTTAGGGTTTAGGGTGTAACTTAAGGTTTTAGGGGATCAAGTTCCTGAACAAAAGCCCCATAAAACCCCCCATAAACACACTAAACAAGCAGGGCGATTTGGGCGTTTTGGGGCGTTTAGGGTTCTGGGTTTAGGGCTAGGGCTTAGGGTTTCAGGCTTCCACATTGGACTGGAGTTTAAGGTTGGAGGGGGTTTGGGGGTTTGGAGGGTTGCGGGCTTTTGGGGTATTCTTACTCAACCTCCCACCCTCTAAACCCTAGGCTCCATAAACCCTAGAAGCACTGTCGAGACATTTCTGCGATGGCACCCTTCTCTCCCCGCCGTGGGGATGAACGCAAGGCACGTCGCAGACTCTTGAACCCCAAAACCGCCTAAAACCGGGGTTCAGGGCTTAGGTTGAAGGTGTTCGGCTGACATTGCCGTGGAAGCAGAGTTGCAACCCAAAACCCTGTAGCCAAATCCTAAACCCTCAACCGGGTTCCTAAACCCTAAGCCCGATTGCTCGGGTAGAAGGGGGGGGGGGGGTAAACCGTGAGGACCACACGAACCCTACAACTGGGGTCATTTACCCATCTGCTACCAGAACTCCTATGAAGGTATATGAACCATGGACCCCTTTAAGACTTATAGGGAACGACTCTTTTGGTTCAGGTCTAGGATTCATCGTCTGGGTTTTACGTAGGGCCTAGGGTGTAGGTGACGTCCTTCGCGGCTACTTTCGCTCAGCCCAGTTGGATAAGGACTGGCAGCTCAGGGTTCTCCGGCGCATTGAGATCGACTTGCTTTAAGGGTTCAGGGTTTGGAGTTTAGAGTTAGTAGTGCTTAGGGCTTAGGATTTAGGGTTAGTAGGGCTTAGGGCTTAGGATTCAAGCACGCCCCGAATGCTCCGGAGCTACCCAGCACTCAGGACATCTACCGGCAACCAGCCGCCGGACTTCATGTCGCCTTCAGGATGCCAGCCTGCCATCGGATCTCGGAGGCTTTAGCGGCGCAGGGTTTACAGGGGAGCCCTAAACCCTAAACCCTGAACCCTAAACCCGAAACCCTAAACCCTACACCTCTGAACCCTGCTAAGGCCCAAGAAATGGCCAGGCAGGCCCCAGATATAGTCGCAGCGGTAGGCGTTGCAGTCCTGCCAGTGGGCGAATGGAGGAAACGAAAGCTCGTCCACAGATCCTGAATCCTTGTAAGCTCTAAACATGCTGAGTCTCGAGTTAGCCTACAAGCAGCATTTTGGATCGCGATATTGGAATTTAGGGTTCCGGCTTGGGATGGGGAGGATTTGAACGGTCTTGAAGGGGTTTCGAGTTCAGGATTTGACCTAAGGCTCCAAAATGTAGTTTCCTTTTTGGGTTAGCTAGAGGGGGCTCTAGTATACTACCCCCAAAAAGGTACTACAGAGGAGCCTTTGGGTAGGCTCAGCTGGACCCGCCTCAGATGGGCTGCGTGTACTCAGGTCCACCTGGATCTGCGTTCCCTTCTGCACCTTGAGGTACCCCATCTCGCGCTCAACAACGGCCGGGTCATACCTGGCGGCCGATGTTCGGGGGGGGGGAGTAGGGGTTTAGGGTTTAGGGTTTAGGGTTTAGGGTTTAGGGTTTAGGGTTTAGGGTCGACTGTGGGCCTGGGACTGCTAAATGCTGCCAAGCTGGCTCGCCGAGCACGTACATCATCGGCCGCGGGTCCTCCTTCACTTTGTCTCTCCACACTTTCATGTAGAGGACCTGCGCAGCCTGAAACTCGTTCATCCTTGGCTCCCACAAAAAGGTGCCAAGCAAACCCGCCAAGCAAAGCCGGACTGCAGCTGATTGCATCTGGGCAACATGGTCGCCTGGGTCTTCTTGCCGTTCACGGCTAGAACGATGTCTCCTCGCTTGTGCGATCTTGGGAGATGTGGGCAAAGCAAGCATCAAGCAGAGACTGTTTAGGGTTTAGGGTTTAGGGTTTAGGGTTCAGGGTTCAGGGTTTAGGGTTTAGGGTTTAGGGTTTAGGGTTTAGGGTTTAGGGTGACGCAAGCCCAAAACCCCCGTCCAGGAGTCAGCATTTGATCCTTCAACTTCTCCAGGCCGTATCTGCGCATCACCTGCGCGGGGGGCTGCGAGGGCCCTCTACACCCTTGCTGGGGTTTAGGGTTTAGGGTTTAGGGTTTAGGGTTTAGGGTTTAGGGTTTCGGGTTTGTCTTTAACAAAACAGGTAAGAACCTCTTGAAAACAAGAAGGGGATGGGAGAAAACATTTTAACAAACCAAAAAAGGGCATGTAATAAACCCTTAAACGCCGTAAGGGGGACATCATGCCACACCTTTCCTAGGCGACGCCATCAAACCTTCTCAGACGGAGGATGCAAAACAAGCTGCCTGGTTCTGCTTCTCGGCGCTGTAGAGAACTTTCGTCACCTCGAAACCCATGAAGGAGCCGTCGGTACGAAACACGGGCTTCTTGTGTATTCCAACCTCGGCAGGGAGCTTCGGGCCTAGGGTTTTAGGGTCTGGCTAAGTGCGACTCGGGGTCACCTTAGCCCTCTTTTGGCATTAAAGAGGGGCTTCGAAGGGAACCCAGGCCCTGAAAAAACAGGGCCTACTCTGCGTCCCGGTTCGTGCGGCTGATGCAGCCCAGGGGCAGTCTCGTCCGGGTTCCGAGACAGCGCAAAGGGAAACTCATAACTCTCGCCATTGCAACATGCAGACATGCCTTGTGTTCACAAGGTGGTAAAACCCCACCACCACCTTGGGAGGACCAAAGGGTTTATGGTACATATAGCACGGGAGAGTTCTAGTAGTGTAGCAGTATGTTGTGGTATGTTCCAAATGTAGGGTTTCTAGCCCCGGAGCTACAAAGTCAAATGCCTAGGTGACCCAGCTTGCCATGCGCACAGGGTTGCTTTTGTGGGGCTTCCTGTCTGAGCAAGACTCGGCAGGCGGCGTCAGTTCTCCACCAACTTGGTTCGAGAGTCAACACATTCGGGCATACCCTCAACCCAAATTAAGCCCTAGACCCTAAACTCTAAACCCAACCCAAGCCGTAAGACCTAAGCTCTAAACCCTAAACCGGGATTTGGGACGAAGGCTTGTGCGCCCAGCTGTGTCACGGGACCGCCTGTGGATCCCTAGTCTCCTATAATATCCCGTGATAGTTTAGGAAGGCGCACGGGGTTTAGGGGCCAACGACTTGCTCTTTTCTTTTCCTGGCCTTCTCACCCCCTATGTAAACCCTAAACCCTCAAAGCCTGCTTGTGACTACCGTCCCACACGCACACACCCGTACTTCAGCAAGGCCTGGGTAGCTTCGTGGTCCCCATGAAGCGCAGCTCCATGGGCAGACCCGCTTCCTAGGAGGCGTGCAGTTGAGGGTGAGGGTTGCTCGGGGCCGGGTGTAGGGTTCAGGGCTTCTATTGTAGAGTTTTAAGGGCGCGGCGGCTTCATGATTGAATCCCGGAAGCAACATCGCCGGGGGGAGGGGGGGAGGTTGAGGTCTTAGAGTCCTCTTCCCAACGCCTTTCATTGGCCTAGGCCTGCCTTACTATTCCCAGCTATCCCTTAATTAGTTGGGCTCTTGGGCAGCAGGGAGTGCACGAACTGTATCTAACCCTTAAACCCTGAACCCTAAACCCGATAAGCCCCTGAAACACCAATGCAGCCCAGCATCTACGCGAATCACATACGAGCTGCGCCCGTATTCGAGGCCTCACCAGTACGATATTTCTTGAATCGAACTGAGTTCTGGGGATTCGAAATGTATGTAAGCAAGAATTCGGGCACAGTGCTAGCAGGGTTCTGAGTATAGAGTTTAGAAGAGGCTTGCATTCAGGTGTTCGAAGACTACGGTTAGCCACACTAGCTTTCCCGAAGAGAGATCCGTTCATTGCGGAATTTGGTAGCTCTATTGAGACCCTTTGCCTTCTGAGCTTTTGGTGATTCACCTCAGGGCTCACGGTTGAGGATTGAAGGCGTCATTTGCTTGCGAAGAGACTGGGTTGCCCAGGAACCTAGGAGTAGAAAGGGTGCCCTTTTGTGCTTAAAGGGGTTTATAAGGGAACCGAATCCCCCCCAAAAGGGAAGAAGGGTACGACTGGGCATCCCAATTAAGAACCAGCAAGTGGGAACGCTGGCAGCAGGAGCATCGCGGCAGTCTGCCGTGCCCGAAACCCTAAACCCTAAACCCTAAATCCTCAACCCTAAACCCTCATCAAACCCCAAAACTTTCAGCACGGAACCCTCTCCTAGCGTCGACATTGGGATCTCGCGTGACTGAGCTGGTCGGACACAAGTTCTAAACTTATCTACTGGTTTAGGGTTCAGGGTTTCCCTAAACCCTGGCCCTGAACCCTAAACCCTAAACCCTAAACCCTAAACCCTAAACCCTAAACCCTAAACCCTATAGAGTTCAGGTTGAAATCTTTAAACCAGCCACCTCGGGCGCAGTCATCATCAAACATGGGCCAAGACTCCTTCAAGCAGGTTGAGAGCGAAGGCTTTTTCGGGATTGGGCCAGGGATTGCCGAGGGTTTAGGTAAGCCAGACTTGTACAAGACAGCAAGTGACCAGAGCTCATGATAAGGGTAGTTCCCTACATAGGGGTACCCCAAAATGCCACCAACATGCCAGAATCATGTTATCATCATCTTTCTTCCTCATAGCATGATCGACTCTGCCTGATACGAGTCATGCTTCACATCTGGCTCCTCGTACATGCCGTCGCTGAGCCTCGTTGCCCGTAGCAATCCCAACTCGCGTCGGTGAAAACCTTGGCTTTGTTTGCTTTGGCGAACTGATCCTGCAGAAATTCTGGGAAACAAGTGCTTACCACAAGGGCGGCAACTGATAAACAGGCCAAACCCTCCTCCCTAAACCCTAAACCCTAAACCCTAAACCCTAGACCCTAGACCCTAAACCCTAAACCCTAAACCCTAAACCCTATTGAGGAAAGCACCAAAAGTGATCCCGGGCCCACACCCCGGAACCAAACCCGACGCCTAAACGAAGGCTCATGCAACTGGCCCCCTTGTGGACAACAATGACATGTTTTGGGCGACCGCATGTCGTGAGGGTTGTGGGTGCTTTTGCATGAGGGCTTGGTATTAATGATGGGGTTTCATTTAAGGCTTCGGATGTAGGGTTGGATTTAACAGTTGTGTGAGGCTGAAGCTTTGGCATTTTGGATCCTCCAGCCACAAGTGCTTTACTGAGGGGTGCCTCCCCTGCCCAGAAACAGCGCGATAGGAAATCGGGGCATGATAGCTTTAGGGATTAGGACCTAATGATTAGGATTAATGCCTGAAGATAAGGGGCTTAGGGATTGGGCGGCTGAGGCTTGATCCGCTCTGCATGATTGTTTGGCAGAGGTGAAGAGGAAAGGGGGAAGCAGCTCCGATGAAATGCTGGGGAAACTCCTCTTCTTTATCTTGTGGCGCATCATGCGAATCACCCTAAACCTTACCCTGATTTTCTACCTTAAGAGGGAAATTGCCGTGATTGTTCCCTACCGGCTGGTGTCTTAACAGGCCCTCTTCTGAGGTTTCCCCTCTTTGAAAGCGCTTTTCAGCTTCTAATTCTGTGGCATTGTATGTGACATGCCCCAAAGGGAGGGGGCCTCACACCCGTCAACCACTAAGCCTTTCAACCTCCGAAACCCAAAACCCCCTCATGAACCCCAAACCAGCTGCCTGGTTAAATCCCGAAAACCCCCAAATAAATCCTTCAACCCCCTAAAAGCCTGAAGTCGAATGAAGCCACGTAAACCCCTACACCCCAAAGCACCCCTTTAGCACCTGAACCTTCAAGCCTGTAAGCCCTAAAGGTTTAGGGTTTAGGGTTTAGGGTTTAGGGTTTAGGGTTTAGGGTTTAGGGTTTAGGGTTTAGGGTTTAGGCAACCTAAGCCCTTGAACCCTTCATACTTCAAACCCTGAACCCTTCATACTTCAACCCCTCAATACTTACTTCCTTGGACTCCCGAACGGATGAGGGCGGGGAACCGCAGCAATCCGGATCCAGGCTTTCCCAGTTCAACAATCGGAGTCGGTCCTGACAAACCTGGCGGCTGACTGCTTGGGGTTTAAGGGGCCGAAGGGCTTAAGGGCTTTAAGGGTTTAGGGTGTGGAGGCTTAGGGATTGGAGGGTTCAGGGTTAAGGCCTTAGAGTTTTGGATGTAGGGTGTAGGGACTGAGACCCGGACTAGCTGACTGCACTACTATACTTCCTATTAAGGTATATGATCGTCAAGGAGGCTCCTTTCGGTTTAGATTGGGGGCATGTGCTTTGGTTTGGGGAGGCTTCGGGGCTTTTCGTGCGGCTCCCGTGTTTTGGGGATGTTGGGGCTTTATTTATTAGAGCTTAGGGTTGAGGGTTCAGGGGTTCAGGGTTGCGGGGTGCTGCCCAAACTTGCTGATGCCAGCTGACCGCGTGTATCTCTCAGAGCCTGTAGCATGCATAGTTGAGGATGCCGCGCTGGATGCTTCAGTCTCTCTGGTCTTGTCAGGCGCAAGCACAGCGTAACTAGCTATTTGAGGGGTTAAGAGCCAAACCCCTGAGCCCTAAACCCTAAATTCTTAGCGGACATTGCAGGCAAAGCGCTGTGAGCCCCCCATCCAGCGTATGCACGAAATGGTCGCCTGGCTGACGAGCGGAGTTTGCGATGTCCGGACAGACCCTAAACCCTAAGCCCTAAACCCTAAGCTCAACTTACCCTAATAACCTCTCCAAACAACAGTCTTTAACCCTTCAATCCACCCTCTGCTGGTTCTCAAGAGGCGCCTTCCGAGCAGTGAGCTGCGGTCTCGTTGGTGCATCGTGGTGGCCAAGCACTGGGGATGTAGGTCGCCAGCAACTTGGTGGGAGAGCTTCTCTTAAAAAGGAGGTTGCGGGTATAGTTGACACAGGCGCAGACACAGACACAACACGGACACAGACAGAGACAGACTCAGAGCACCGAGATACGGAGACACAGAGACACAGAGACACAAAGACACAGAGACACAAAGACGCAGAGACGCAAAGACACAAAGACACAAAGACACAAAGACACAAAGACGCAGAGACGCAAAGACACAAAGACACAAAGACACAAAGACACAACGACACAACGACACAACGACACACACACACACACACAGAGACAGAGAGAGACAGACACAGAGACAGAGACAGACACAGACGGACAGACGGACAGACAAGCACACAGACAGACCCCACACAAGCGGTAAGCCCACAAGCTCTGCAGTCACATAGCTTGGGAGGTTCTAATCCCTATTAAGGACTGTTAGTATAGGGCGAAAAATACACAGCAAAAGTAGTGCCACTCCAAGCAGAGGGGCGAATCCGGAGCTCTGCGCATCGCAGGCGCTGGGCAGCAGCTCACCAGCCGGCAGCGCCACGCCAATCTGGCGCAGCAAGGTGCCATCCAGATCTCGCACCCTGGGCAAGGGTTTCGGGTTTAAGGTTTAGGGTTTAGGGTTTAGAGTTTAGGGTTTAGGGTTTAGGGTTTAGGGTTTAGGGTTTAGGGTTTAGGGAACCCTGGGGGGGGGGCTGGGGGGGGCGCAAGGCTGCAATACCCTGTTGGAACAAGAGCGAAAGACTTACCACGAGAAAACTTGTTCTTCAACTTAGGCCCTGTGCTGCCGTGTGACACGGTACGCTGTTGAACGATGTAGGGTTTAGGGTTTAGGGTTTAGGGTTTAGGGTTTAGGGTTTAGGGTTTAGGGTTTAGGGTTTAGGGTTTAGGGTTTAGGGTTTAGGGTTTAGGGTTTAAAGTTTAGGTTTAGGGTGAAGGGTTCTCCACATTTATTGACCACAAGCCCCAATTCTCCGCACGCTTGGGCTTCGGCCAGGTATGCTGGACGCCAGGACAAATGGGCGGCTTGCCTGCAAATCATCTCTCTTATGAGGAGAAAATCTGCCTCCTAGTTGCTGAGTGGCCTGGGCAAAAAAATTTAAAAACCCTTCAAATATGTTGGTAGGATTGTGTCTACCCCAAAAGGTTAAAGGTTCCCTACTCAGCTACTAACTCCTTCTTTTGATGACGTCGGTGGGCCTTCTTTTTGATGACGTTGGTGGATCTGACAGGCATCTCACAGTGTTTGGCCATTCAGGGCCTGTAGTTGGGGCATAGCCCAAAACCCTAAACATCCGTAAGCCCAAACCCTAAACCCCAAACCCTAAGCCCTAAACCCTAGGATTGTGGGAGCTTGACCTTGGGTTGCACTCTGAAAACTCAGCACTGCGCGCTGCGACATGCTTGAGATGATGACCCTAGCTGCCGCTGATACTTCGATGGCGAAACTTTTCTCGTGAACGCGTTGGCTGAAAGTCCAGACCTTAAACCCTAAACCTTAATGTTGGACTGGCTTTAGTGAGAAGGGGCACTATTCTGCGATGTTCCGGAAATCCTATAGGGGACCCCCCATTGTTTAGGGTGGTCCTCAATTATGCGATGTTTGCCGGCCGGGGTTGAAGGGCGGGGGGCCGGGGAGCCAAAAACTAAAAACAGTTTTGAATAAGAAACTCCGGAGTTTTTTGTGTCCAGCCTTATTTAAATTCCATTTAAAATTTCATTACGAAACAGGCCCCCAAACAATTTTCCAAGGGAGTAGCCCACGAGCTGCCCTGATTCGCTTTAGCAAGTTGTTTCGGTGGTCCGCATTTATGCGGAGCCCCGGCGACCGTGGAGCTACAAAGCCTGGAAAGCTTAGACCCTCAAGCTTCAAGGCTTCCCCTCAACCCTCAACCCCTAGCCGCCCTACCCCCAGCCCCGTCCCAGCCCCAGCCCACACTATTCAGGATCCCCGAAAACCCCAAAATTGTTTGGGGGGCGGGGGGGGGGGGGGGGGGGGGGGGGACCCCTACGTACTAAAGCGAGTCCAACATTAAACTGCAGACACGAAAAACTCGTCGGAAACCCGAAACCCTAAACCCTAAACCCTAAAACCACCCTAAACCCTAAACCCTAAACCCTAAACGGAGAGGGTCCGTCCCCGACCCAGGCCGGGCCTTCGATTCCCAGCTTCGTCCGCAAAATGTCCTTAAGCACAAAGCTCCCTTTCAGGGTTTCAGGTTTAGGGTTTAGGGTTTAGGGCATTGGACTAAACATAGACATATGTACTCCCATTGTTGGTTCTCATGCTACAAGTTGTAAATTCTTTTCAAGTCATTGGCCTCGCCGTTCCGGCCCTACGTTCAACTCGGGATGGCAAGGGATGGAGGGGATAGGTTGGCAAGCTGAACACTAGAGACAACATATACTGTCACATACCTTAGACTACAATAATTTCTAGTAGGTATATGAACCATAAACCCTTTTAGGATCTAAGGGTGACCCTAAATCTCTGAATACTGACCAAGTTGCAGAAGCGAAGGGGTGCCGAGAGCACGTTGCCTCGCCCGGATACCTGCGTGCACGAGACCATGCCTTCTTTAACCGTAATATACACCAGCCCCAGCAAGAAGCACCCTGAACCCCAAAACCCTAAACACTAAACCAAGCTTCGCAGCCATCCCGGTTTCGGGGATACCAGAAAAGTATGCAGCAGGGGAGATTCCAAGTTCTGATTGTTTCCAAATGGTGCAGTTATCTGACGCTGGCTGGGAGGGATTGCCAAGGATTGAACAATACAGACTGCACGTAAAGGGTTTCGGGTTTTGGGTGGGGACCAGTGCACTTGCCACTCATCTGGCATGGTGGCATGGGAGTTTCTCTGAACCGTCGTTCTGAAGACGAAACGGCTTACCGCAGACGAGACTTGCGTGTGCCTTCGCCCAAAACGCTGCTGCAAGACAAAAGCCCCAAATCTCAAAACCAAACTCCATAAACCCTATACGCTGAACTGAACCCTAACCCCTAGAGCGCCTCCACCAAGGCTCGAGCAGTATGCGGGTGTTGGTGTACATCTGGTCAAACCTTTGCTGAGGGTCGAAGGCAAAGCCCACACCGACCAAACCGCGAATGGGTTGCGAGTTCCCTAGGCTAGCGTTTTCTCAGGCTTTAAGATATGAGTACGTCTCTACGTTAGGGTCCCTTTTTGGGGTCCCCCTTTTTGGCACGACACCATGTAAAAAGGAGCCCCCGCACGGGATCCTAATTTAGAGACCTACCCAGATCCCTGCCTCCCTCTCCCGTATCTTGTATACCTAGCCTTGGCGAGGAGAATCTCGACTCTGTGCCCTGGTTCAAAAGACGTTTGGGATTTAGGGTTTAGGGTTTAGGGTTTAGGGTTTAGGGTCTAGGGCTACCCTAACCCTAAACCCCAAACCCCAAACCCTAAACCCTAAACCCTAAATCCTTACCCTAAACCCTAAACCCCACTTCGAGCTTCGCCCGGTGACCGGTGGGGGCCCTCCGACGTCAGCGAAGCGTTGGTCACGTACTTTGGCATGAAGCTGCCGTCCGCCTGGGCTTAGGGTTTAGGGTTTAGGGCTTAGGGTTTAGGGTTTAGGGTTTAAGGTTTAGGGTTTAGGGTTTAGGGTTTAGGGTTAGGGATCAGGGATTTAGGGCTTAGGGTTTAGGAACTCATGGTTTGAGGTTTAGGGACTCACACGGGTTTAGGGTTGTAAGGGTTTTGGGATGTGTTGGGCTTTGGGGTTTCGGGCTCGGCGTGGAGGATTCGTCGCGGGGTTTAGGGCGCCAAGAAACACGCGCTTTGGGGCTGCGGAAAAAATCACTCCACTCAGCAAGCGCTTGCCCGACCTGGGAATAGAATGTCTTACTTAGCAATGGCAAGCTGAAACCTAGCTATACTCCCCTTAGAGCCTTAACAAAAATATTCCCAAGGGTGATGTAGCTAGAAGGTTCAAGCGGACCGAGGCAACCGCCCATGTCAGGCCGCGCACTTCCTTGGGATCCAGGCCGGCAGGTGCATGGGCAGCATTTCGGGGGGCCCTTGTGCCAGCATCCCCCTGCTGATGTTCGACTTCAAGAAAAGAGGGCAGGTGCGTAAGAAGCTCTAGGGTTTAGGGGTTTTCGGGTGCAACTTATTGGGCTTAGGAGGGCTGTAAGAGTTGAAGGTTTGGGGTTCATGAGTTGGTCAAGGCCAGTGGCAAGAATAGGATTCCAGTCGCGAGAGCTCGGGTTGTTGGCAATCCCCACCGAGCGCAGTCCGCAGTCCTCGCCGCACCCTATTTAAACCCTGAACCCAAAAAACACTCTGAACCCTCTAAACTCTCTAAACTTTAGACTCTAAAACCCTATAAACCCAAGCAGAGGAGGAGGAGGAGGGGCACACTGTCAGCAATGAAAGCAGCACTTGTACCCAAGGAGCTGAAGCCTGAAGCCTTCCAAGCCAGTGCTTTGGATCCAGGCTGTGGTTGGGGTTTCGGGGGTAAGGATTTTGGGTTGAGGGTTTGGGTTTAGGATTTAGGGTTCTAGGGTTGGGAAGGGGTTTGGGGCTTCGAATACTTTAGGGTGCTTTTGTAGGCCTAAGCTGGGACCAAGTAACCTCGAACTCCTCAAAAGGGATGAAGGGTTCACTGGAAGATCTGGTTAGCAAGCTACAAGTATCACTGTCAGTAATGGGTTTTTGGAGAAACCTAAACCCTGGACCCTGAACCTAAACCCTAAACCCCCTAGGCCACAAACACCAAAACTTGACTCTTAAAACCCTACACCTCCAAACATCCCGAACCACTCCGAAAAACCCGACACCTAAGACTCCAAACACACGCCCCTTGCAAATTCCATACCTGGCCCTACACAACTCCCCCGAAAACCCTAAACCCCAAACCCCAAACCCTAAATCCCTCCAAAAACAGGAGCCCATAAGCTGCCTCGGCATGGAAAGCCCCAAAGTTCACGTCTTCCAGGCGGAAGACGGACATCCTTCTTTTTTGTTGGAGAAAAACAGGGTTTAGGGTTTGGGGTTGGGGTTTAGGGTTTAGGGGTTAGGGTTGAGGGTTTAGGGTTTGTTTAGGGTTTAATGAGGGTTCAGGGTGTGAGGGGGGGGGGGGGGGGGGGGGGGCGAGAATGTGGGTGGGGTTTAGGGTTAAGGGCTTGGAGCTCGGATTTAGGATTTCGGGCTTGGGTTTTCATTTTGGGGTTTGTGGTTGGGGGTTGGGTCGGACTTGCGTCGGTAGGGTGTAGCGTTGAGGGTGGCTGAATGAAGGTTCACCAAAAAGGTGGAAAAGGCCGCATACTGAGTACCCCAGACCATACACCGAACTAAGCCCAAGCTCCACTGGAACCCTAAATACCTAAACTCTAAACCGGATTGAGCCCCAAACATCCCTAAACCCTAAAGTGTCCGGGTGTTCGGACTAAGGCCCAAATGGTTTAGGGTTATGGGCTGTGGTTGTTTTGGCTTCAGGGAGTTGGTGGCTTTTGGGACTTTTGGGTTAAGGGGGCTTAGGTTAAGTTATGCAGGGCTCATGGTGGCGTCATGCGTTCCAGGTTGGGACGTTCACCAGTCCTTAATCGGGATTGTCATTATAGGTACTAATCGCTATTAAGGACTGCTAGTATACGGGTGTGTGTTGTTGAGACCCTAACCCCTAACCCTAAACCCTAAACCCTAACCCCAGATTGTCAGGTGTGAAAAGAACCACTGGCACTCTTCAGCACGCCAACAGCCTTCAAGTCTGCTCTGCCCTCTTGTCACTTCTCCAAAATATGGTCCCTTTTGAGCTCCTTCAGTAGCCCCGAGTATAATCCCTACTAAGGACTGTTACTGTTAGTATAAGGGGGAACATCCCAAGTCAAGTCACTTCTCCAATGTTTTTGGTCCCTTGTAGGGTCCTTATAAGGCGACCGCCCCCCTCTGATGTAGGGTGTGACAATTTCGAGAACGGACAATCTACTCTTGCGGGCTTGGGGGGTGGGTGAACCCTAAACTCTAAACCCTAAACCCTAAACCCTAAACCCTCTGAAACCCTAAATCCTCTGAAGCCCTAAACCCTAAACCCTAAACCCTAATTAAACCCTAAACCCTAAGCCCTAAGCCCTAAGCCCTAAACCCTAAACCCTAAACCCTAAACCCTAAACCCTAAACCCTAAACCCTAAACCTCCCAAATGGCCTGGATCCACGCGTGCCGTAGCGGTACTCCCAGGGCATCGCGCAGGTGCGGTCCGGGAGGTTCACGAGGGGACAGGCGCGCAACACAGGGCCATCCTGAAATCCAGAGAGCTGGCCATGTTTGCTCATGGCCTCGTATCTCATCACTTAGTTGGGTTTTGGGTTTTGGGTTTAGGGCTTAGGGTTTAGGGCTTAGGGTTTAGGGTTTAGGGTTTAGGGTTTAGGTTTTAGGGTTTAGGGTTTAGGGTTTAGGGTTTAGGGCTAGGGTTTGGGACTTAGGGGAATTCTGTAGGTTCAGGGCTTGAGATTTCTGGTGCAGGTGCATCTTACGGCTTCGGCTTGGCAGCCACAGCTGATCACGGCTGGCCTCGCACGTCTTCCCACGATTGGTGATGATGGGCAGAAGGATGCCGACCTAGAAGCAACTAAAAAAACAAAAATGAAACAAAGCTCTAAAAAAACCCAAAACCCTAAGGGTGCTGGCGCTTCGTTAAACGCACACCTGCAACATGTCATACGCCCAACCTCCTTGGACCCCGTCCTCTCATGATTCGAAGGGTTTGCCCTCAGAGATGCGACGTCAGTGAGGGCTTCCTTCAGCAAACCCTATTTCCGCTCTAACCCGCTGTGCTGATTACCATACGACGAGCGAACCGGATCGAATCTCAATGCGACAAAGTTGAGCTTGCCAAGGAACTGATAGAATAGAAAAACTTCCTACATGAACCCTACCCCTAAACCCTGCACCCTATCTAGACCCCTAAACTCCCCACCGCCCCTCATGGAAAACAAGCAGCTCTTCGCACGCCAGGTCCAGGTACCGAGGCGCAGCCAGAGGGGGAGGCCTGCATCGTGCTGAGGGATTGGGGTTCAAGGTCCCTGAACCCAAACCCGAAACAAACCCCCAAACCCCAAACCCTAAACTGTTTAGGGTTATAGGGTTTTATAGGGTGGCTGGGGACCCTAAATCCTTATCCTATAGGCCCTAGATTTAAAACCTACGTCCTGAATCTTAGAAACGCCTTAGCCCCAAGAACATGCGCTCTGAAAACCCCAGCTCCCTGAAACCTCTGAACCCCGACACCCTAAACCCTGCACCCCAAATCCTAAACCCTAAACCCTATAAACCCTAAACCCGAAACCCAAAGCAAGCGGAATCCGTGGCCTCCCCCGGGCCCACGGCCAGGCATTGGAGCGAGGCGTTACAGGTGGACAGCGCTGTGGAGCCGTATACCTGCTCTTCGCGTTCTGTGTCCTTTTTTGGGGTTTAGGGTTCAGGGTTTTGGCGGGGGGGGGGGGGGGGGGGGGGGGGGGGGGGGGGGGGGGGGGGGGGGGGGGGGGTGAGGGCTTTTTCGGGGCTTTGGGCCTCAGGCGTTGGAGTTTTTCGGAAGTCAGGGTTGGGCTTTTGAAGGTTTCGGGGTGTAGTTTGGGTTTAGGTTTTGGTGGGGCGGTGGCTTTCGCTGCATGGGTTAAAGATAAGGTCCCGCACGGAAAAACTTGGGCATACCCTAAAAGAAAGTAAAGGGCATGCCAAAGCCCTTCCATATATTCTCCCTTTGTAGCCTAAGGGGAATGGGTTTGGGGGTATTGCTCCTGGATTCGTAAGAACCACTGGGGCGCGCGCCTTGCTGTCACGCATGGTGAAGTGGTGGTTCATGTCACCCATCTGCCGATGGAACGTTCCCGTGATGCCAATGTGATTGTCGAAGACCTGCCTTGCGCACGGCAGACATGTGATGCAACATGGGGACTTCCGAAAATTCTGGGTCCCTTTTGGGGGGGTTCCTATGATAATGATTATGGTGTTCAGGGATTTTGAAGGATATATGGTTCAGCCCCGGCGGCCCCCCCCCCCCCCACCCCCCCCCCCCCACCCCCCCCCCACCCCCCCCCCCCCCCACCCCCCCCCCCCCCCCCCCACCCCCCCCCCCCCCACCCCCCCCCCCCCCACCCCCCCCCCCCCACCCCCCCCCCCCCGGATGGGGTACTAAGATGATACCCCCCCCCCCCCCCCCCGGGGTGTGGGTTGGGGGGTTGGTTTTTTAGGGTTTTAGGGTTTGGTTTAGGGTTTAGGGTTTAGGGTTTAGGGTTTTAGGGTTTTAGGGGTTCAGGGTTTAGGGTTTTAGGGTTTAGGGTTTAGGGTTTAGGGTTTAGGGGGTTTAGGGTTTAGGGTTTAGGGTTTAGGGTTTAGGGTTTCCCCGCGGATGGGGTACTAAGATGATACCCCCCCCCCCTGTGGTGTGGTTGGGGGTTGGTTTTAGGGTTAGGGTTTAGGGTTCAGGGTTTTAGGGTTTAGGGTTTAAGGTTTAAGACTTAAGGTTTAGGGTTTTAGGGTTTCGGGTTTAGGGTTTAGGGGTTTAGGGTTTAGGGTTTTAGGGAGGGGTAGACTTGGGGGGGGGGGGACCATGGGGGGGGGGGGGGGGGCCGGGAACGCCCGACGCTGAACCATATATAAGGGGGTCGAAAGTCAACTTTGCGACGTCGTTCCCTTGAGCAGCAAGACAGGCCGACTTTTAGCTGCTTTTCAAGCTGCACGTCGGAGACTTCCATGTTGGCGGGTTGATCCTTAGGCTAGGCACGTGGCGTCACATTCACAGCCCGAGCATGGTGCTGTCGACATCACAAGTGAGTTGGCAGGCTCTTCGGCAAACAGCAAAGTACCATATAAATAAGGATTGTGTGTATCGTAACATGTATGCGCGTATATACCGTATAGATGTATGGGTATCACGTATACACGTGTACAGAAACCATCAACACGAGCACCAGTCGCACGGCCCGTTTTAGCCAATGCCATACCCCTGAACCCTGAACCCTGAACTTCTCAGGCCAGGCAAGCATCCACAAAGAGGATGCCGATGTGCGCGTTCTTCCAAGCCTCCATAGCCCAACTGCTTCAGAGTCAGACTGAGTCGTAGAGATAAGATAGGGGCCTTTCATTTGGACCAGGGCTTCCGGGTGGTTTTTGTTTGCCGCTATGTGGGGAGTATTTGGGCATGACATTAGTCCGGCAGGTAGGGCTCCTGTCTTGTGTGTTGGTCGGCTTTGAGATCTTGACTTGTAGTTGTAGGCGCGTGTGCCCTTGTGCTGTCAACGTAGCCCCTTCGTAGCCCAAACTGAAGCCTAGTTGCTGAATACAAAAAAGGTTAGCCTGTCAAATATGATAGGACCACATATCCCCAAAATGTTAAGGTTACCAGTGACTATATCAAAAAAGAAGGGTTGCCTTTTTTGGGTTGGAACCTTGAACCAAAAAAGGAAAGCGTACCACTTGGCTACCAAGGCTACTAAGGAAGACGAGGCACAAACCTACGCCCTGAACCCTAAACCCGAAACCCGAAACCCTAAACCCGAAACCGTAAACCCTACCCCTAAAAAGGACGAGGTGCCCGCATGTGCTGGAGGTGCACGCAGTCGTAAGCATCCTGGCAGCTAGCTGGGCCACCCCCTGCCGTGGAGCAGGATCTGAGGATGAAGAAGCCCACAAGGCATCCTGGCTTGGAGGGTTTAGGGTTTAGGGTTTAGGGTTTAGGGTTTAGGGTTTCGGGTTTAGATGTCACTGGAAGGCAAAGCGACTGCAATGTTTCCTGTGAAGTTGGAGATGTCAGAGGCTGCTACAGGGCTGACATGTCACGCCTAGGGTCCCTAAACGAGCGCTTAGGGGTTAGCATCCTGAACCCGAAAAAACCCTAGAACCCTAAACCCATAAACCCTTGAACCCTGAACCCTTCCACCCATAAACCCTTGATCCCCTAAAACCTAAACCCTAAACCCTAAACCCTAAACCCTAAACCCTAAACCCAAAACCCTAAACCCCAACGGGGGCAGGATCCTGAACCATGCGCTGCTGCGGACAAGATGCCGAAAGCCTCGTTCGGCAGGTTGAGGGTGGCATCCCCAGCCTTGCGGTTAGGGGGTTAGGGGTTTGGGGTTTGGGGTTTAGGGTTTAGGGTTTGGGGTTTGGGGTTTGGGGTTTAGAGTTTCGGGGTTTCGGGTTGCCCGAGCTGTGGCAAGAGGTTTGCTTAGACAACCCCGCACGAATTCTGCCCAGCTGCCCGTCCTCCCCGCAACAAGAGCCCCGAATTGAATGGGAACTCTCTCTCCTTAGGGGTGCCTAATGAGTATTGGGGCCTTTCTCAATCGGAAGAGGGTTTTGGGGGGTAGTATGGTCTAGTTATAGGTACCACAAGGGAATACTGTTGGTAATTCTTCCGACCCCTAGGGGGGTGGGAGGGGATTTATCGATGGTCTTCGGGGCAGCACAAGGCCTGCTGCTGCGCTTCATCGCAGGTATGTGGCCGCAGCAAGAAGCCGATGTCCTGGTTGCGGAGAGCTTAGAGCTTCAGGGTTGGGGGCCCCAAAGTTGGGGGCTTTAAGGGAGAAGGGTTTAGGGTTTAGGGCTTTGGGTTTAGGGTTTAGGGTTTGGGCTTTAGGGTCTGGGCTTCAGAAGATTAAGACCAGAAAAGGTTCGCCTTGAGGATACGTTCAGCACGCAGATTAGGCCCATCATCTCGCGAGGTGACCCGAGCTTCCTATTGTAGTTCCTGAGTCTCCATCACGCCTTCGGCAATCCCTGCAGCAAACCTCAGCCACACACCTAAACCCTAAACCCTAAACCGTAAAACCTAAACCCTATAAACCCTAAACCATAACCCAGAAAACCACCCCAAAGCCATCGCTTCAGCTTCTGGCCTCGCATCCTGCGACGACATTTCCAGCGAACACCGGCGGCTTTGCCTTTTTACGTGGGGTCTCACGTGAACTCTCAAAATTTCGGGTTTCGGGTTCAGGGTGTCAGGGTCTGCAGGGCTTCAATGAGTCCAGAGGACCCTGAATTCGAACATCCCTATAATTCAAGCCCACATTCAACAGCAGCCTACAAAACAGCGCACTGCAAAAACACAGCCTCCAACAGCGACTGCGCGCCCTACGATCCGGCTGGCACCCGTGCGACCCCCCAAAACCCAAAACCCAACTCCCTAAACCCGAATCCCTAAACCTGGAAGCCACCGAAACCCTAAACCCGAAACCCTGCACCCCAAACCCCAAATCCCTAAACCCTAAACCCTCTAATCACCCTAAACTCCTCGTGCCTTATGAACCCTAGAAGCCAAAAACTCGCAAAAAACTCCGCCTCAGACAGTCCAAGCAGCCTGAAGCTGAAACACAGACATCGGCTCCTCAGAACTCTCTAATATATAGGGACATTAATAATAAGAATAGGGTGAAGAAGGTGAACAGGGTGCAGGGTTTAGGGTTTAGTGTTTGGGGCTTAGGGTTGGGGATAGTACAGGGGCCTTAGTATCTGGAATAGGGTTTTGGGGGTGATTAGAGTATAGTTATATAGGGACCATAGAGAATATTCAGTTCTTAGTAATTGTTGCGACCCCCGTAATATCCCTCTCTCTCTCGCTCTCGCTCTCTGTCAATGTCTCTGTCTCTGTCTCTGTCCCTGTCCCTGTCTCTGTCTCTGTCTCTGTCTCTGCTCTCTCTCGCTCTCTCTCGCTCTCTCTCGCTCTCTCTCTCTCTCTCTCTCTCTCTCTCTCTGCGAGTCGTCAAAACGATGGGGAGAGTTTGGGGTTTCGGGTTTAGGGGTTCAGGGTTCAAGGGTTTAGGGTCGGGCGGGGCAAGGGCAGTGCATCGTTGTTTGCACAAGCTGGCGCATAACAGGCAGCATCTAGAGCGAGGCCAGACAGCACGCGTTCTTGTCCCCAACGATTGGTTTGGTATGGATGACCAATCCCCGACTATTTGCTTATGAATCTCCCAAAAAATGAACAAACGTTCAGCCCTTTCAGGGAAATATGGTGATAAGTGATAACTATTGTCCTTTTTTTGCCGGGGGGGGGGGGGAGCGGTTCTTACCCTAAACCCTAAACCCTAAACCCTAAACCCTAAACCCTAAGAAACCCCTAAACCCAACAGGTTCTGGCATCTTCCTAAGGGGCATTGCTGATCAATGCTGGCCAGCGTCGTACGGAAGCCCCAGGGACACCCGCTCGGGAGCCCGGCTGGTGGCAACAGCCTTGAGCTGCACCCAACAGACCGAAACCCGAAGCCCTAAACCCTAAACCCTAAACCCCTAAATCCCGAAATCCCTAAATCCCTGAATCCCTAATCCCTAAATCCCTAAAACCCTAAACCCTAAACCCCCGTGTGGCTGGAAAGCTGGGACTCAATCCCCTGACCCCAAACGAACTCGAAGCTATCAGTTTGGGTTTAGGGTCTAGGGCTTCTGAGGGCAAAAGGTTTAGGATGCCGCGTCTCTGCAGAGATGCACTCCGAGGTACGAGGTTTTGGAGGATGAACAAAGGCCCAACGTTCATGTCGGCTTTGATCACCGGCCCCCTGTCGCAGGAAGGTGCACCCTACAGCCTAAAGCCTAAACCCTAAATCCTATTCGGGTCACATAGGAGAATGCGTAGCCTCATGTTTAGGGCATCCAAAAAGCTCCTAGGCCTATGGGGCTTATAGTTCTGGGGCTTATGGAGCTTACCAGGCTTGTCGGGCTCATGGGGCTTATAGGGCTCTCTTATTGGGCTTTCAGCTTAGGGCTTTTCGGGTTTCTAGCTTTAGGTTTAGGGTTTAGGGTTTAGGGTTTTAGGGTTTGGGGTTTTAGGGTTTGGGGTTTAGGGTTTAGGATTTAGGGTTTAAAGCATTACGGGTTCCAAGAACCAGTCCACCAGTCCACGAAGTCTCCCACCCCCATCCCCCAGAACCTCGTGTTAACGAAGACGCTGTTGACCAGATCCATCCCCCAGCTGCCCAGCACGTCGATGGCACCCATGATACCTTGGGCTCAGGGCGCTTTAGTGTTAGGGTTTTGGGGGGTTAGGGTTTAGGGGTTTAGGGCCTTTGGGGTTTAGGGCTGCTGGCGACTTGAGGATAAGGGGCTGCGCTTCTGGCACTGGGCCACATTGAGCCCTCAAGCTCTCACGGCTGCACCCGCGGAGGTCAGAGCCCAGCTTTTGGTTCCGTTTGGGGTTTAGTCTTTTATAGGGACGTTATGGATTTTAGGGCTATTTTGGGGGGGTTTAGCGATTAGAGGGTTTAGAGGGTTTAGAGGGTTTATGGACTTAAAAAAGGTTGAAAGTGGGGTGGGCCGGGTGCACCGGCCGGCCGCGCCGTGCGGATATTCAGCGTTAACTGCTCTGAACTGGAAAGCCCACAACCCTAAACCCTAAACCCTGAACCCTCTCTACTATATATATATATATATAGAAATATGTTTATTTCTGGATTTATTTGAACCTCCGAATTTGGCCGCTTTATTTTCCGACTGTGGCCCAAAACCAAACTAAAGGCTCATCGAAATTCCGAATTCGGCCGGCTTCACCTTCCGGATTTGGCCACTCTATTCTCCGAATTTGGCCGCTTTATTTTCCGAATTTGGCCGCTTTTTGTTTCCGAAGTTGGCCGCGAGCTTGGCCGTTTTTTGCTTTCTCAATGTTCTGGGAAAGCTGCACCATAAACCTGCTCGACCCGGAGTGCTGAACCCTAAACCCTACACCCTGTGCTGAACCCTAAACCCTACACCCTAAACCCTGAACCCTAAACCCTTAGTGTTGAGACTGCTTGGGAAATTCACCCCTAAACCCCGCCAAAATGAGGCCGAGGGGGCTATCGGAGAAGGAAAGTCCCTCCAGGTAGGGGCTCGGCAGGCCTCCTGGCAAAGCTTGGGGGGGGGGGGGGGGGGGGGGGGGGGGGGGGGGGGGGGGGGGGGGGGGGGGGGGGGGGGGGGGTTTAGGGTTTAGTTTTAGGTTTTTAGGTTTAGGGTTTAGGGTTTAAGGGTTTAGGGTTTAGGGTTTAGGGTTTAGGGTTTAGGGTTTAGGGTTTAGGGTTTAGGGTTTAGGGTTTAGGGTTTAGGGTTTAGGGTTTAGGGTTTAGGGTTTAGGGTTTAGGGTTTAGGGTTTAGGTTTAGGGTTTAGGGTTTAGGGTTTAGGGTTTGGGGTTTGGGGTTTGGGGTTTGGGTTTGGGTTTAGGGTTTAGGGTTTAGGTCTGCCACTCGGGTTGCCACATGTCCTACTGCATCTGATAGACTCCATGCGTTTTGCTTCAAAATTCAGCTTGCACCCTCAACCCTGAACCATAAGCCTGAACCCTAAACACTAAAGCCCAAACCCCAGCCCCCCACTCCCCGCGGGTCCGTAGTAGCCATCCGGCTGGTAGAACTGAAGGGCAGGGAAGCCTCCAGTTTAGGGTTTAGGGTCTAGGGTTTAGGGTTTAGGGTTTAGGGTTTAGGGTTTAGGGTTTAGGGTTTAGGGTTTAGGGTTTAGGGTTTAGGGTTTAGCGCATACTCATCATCTCAACTGGGTTGCTGGGTGCTAGGGCTGCTCTTGAATTGAACTGTGTATGCACCTACTTCTGGCGTCTGAAACCATACCCTAAAACCCTACAGGTTTAGGGTTTAGGGTTTAGGGTTTAGGGTTTAGGGTGTAGGGTTTAGGGCTTAGGGTATATGAAGATGGGGACCAGCCCTGAACTCTTCAGCCAGGCCGCGTGTGTCCGCAGTTAGACCATCCTGTCCACCCCGGTTGAGCTGGACCCACGACATAGACCTGTCGAAATCCTAGATCCTAAACAAGAACCCAAAACCCTAAACCCTAAACCCTAAAGAACCCTCAACTCTAAACTCGAAATCCTAAATCCTAAACGCTAAAGCCTAAAATCTAAACCCTGTTGAGCACTGCATGGCTAGTAGAAAGAGATATGCTGATGCAGTTTCCTTTTGCGTGGCTCACGCTGGGGCTTTGGTTACACTACAGAGTCTAGGGTAGTGTGCCCAGGAATCCTACTAAGATCTCTACTTTTCTGTTGTCCATCCATCGATCGCCTCTGCCCCCTGCCACCGCGGCGCGTCCGAGGCTCCCTGACTGAGAGCCTAAACTAAACCCTGAACCCTGAACCCTAAACCCTGAACCCTGAACCCTGAACCCTAAACCCTAAACCCTAAACCCTGAACCCTAAACCCTAAACCCCCCCCGGGTGCAATCTGTAGCCAGGGAACACGAAGGATGAGCCGGAGGCCAGCATGTGGAAGCCGAACCACTCTCCTTCGGGGCATTGGGTTGTAAGGAAACGGCTTAGGGTTCTTGGGGGGGTTTAGGGTTTAGGGTTTAGGGTTTAGAGTTTAGGGTTTAGGGTTTAGGGTTTAGGGTTTAAGGCTTAGGGCTTAGGGTTTAGGGTTTAGGGAAGCAACCTCGACCAGACCTTTGACTCGCCACCTTGCCTCCATGGCCAGGGATGGGCACATCCCGCTCTGGATCGGGGAACTTCTCCTGTGAGGATGCCCAAAAGCCCAAAGCTGTTTGGGGTTGAGGGTTTTAGGCCTAAACCCTAAACCCTAACCCTAACCCTAAACCCTATACCCTAAACCCTAAACCCTTAACCCTTAACCCCAGGGGTTTGTTGTTCTGGCACCTGACGCCCGGATCCCCAAACATTGTTTCTTGCCTGCAAAAGAAAGCCCAGATGCCGATAACCACTCCCCCGGCATATCGCAGAGAAACGAAGGGTCTGAACCATAAATGGGCACTTCCCAAAAAAAAGTACCCGTAATCTGCCCCAAGAATACTCTAATCCTTCTTATAGGAACCCCCAAAAAAGGTACCCAGTTGTTTTTGGAACCCCCATATCGGAATTCGGAGCGTCAGCCCTCATCGTCTCACGAACTGACACTTTCCGATGCTAGCAGAGAGGCCACGGGTGGCATCAGAACACAAAATTTCATGGACCCCCCCTGCCCCCATGTCGGGAAGTGCTCTTCGGGTGCTGAGGGCGTGGTCATTTTTGTGTTCTACAGGGTTCTTTCCCGGTCGCTTCTGAACTAAAAGTTTTTCTGAAGAGGTCGAGACGAACAGCAACAGGTTCTTACGGTGATCATGCTGTCAACCATTGCAGACTAGCAGCTGCACCAGTAAGTGCTTCTTCCGTGGTCACAAGGAGGCTACGGCTCACCTTCGCAGGTTGGGATTCGGATCAAGATCTTGGAGAGCCAAGCAGACGCTCATGACACCTGTTTCAAATCGCAATACCTACCTCAGAAGATTCTGCAGCTGCTGCTGCCCTAAACCCTAAACCCTAAACCCTAAACCCTAAACCCTAAACCCTAAACCCTAAACCCTAAACCCTAAACCCTAAACCTGTAACAGAGCCCAGTCTACGCAGCAAAGCCGCCAAGGCCACGATCGTCCGCACGGTCAGGCTTCCACTGTTATCTCGGAAGGCCTGCGTTGTGAATTCATGCGCTTGGGATGTTCAGGGCTTCGCAGGTGTGAAGTTCTAGAGTCCGAAGGTAGCTATCTAACTACGAAATGTAAACATATGTGTATATATATATATATGTATATATGTATAGGTATCGCTACTAGTATTAATACTGTATTACACTATATTAGGTCTCCGGGTTTGCGGTTGGTTCCGCACGGCGAGCTTGGGGACTGCAGGAAAACAGCCATGAATGAAGCCTGGCCTCCGTGACTCTGAACCCTCAACCCTCAAGGGTTTAGGGTTTAGGGTTTATAGGGTTTAGGGTTTAGGGTTTAGGGTTTAGGGTGTAGGGTTTAGGGTTTAGGGCCAAAGTTTGGGGTTTAGGGTTGAACCCCAAAACCGGCTTCTGCTACCAGTCCCAGCACAGTCGGGGGCCGAAGCAACCGCGAAGCTTGGGAAGATCACTCCTCTTACCTTGCCTGGGGGAGGGGTAGAAGTAGGGTTTAGGGTTGATGGTTCACAGTCAGAGTTGTATACTAACTGGGCATAACCGGTTGGTTTAGGAGTTCAATGCTTGAAGATTCCGCTTTCCGGGCAGCTATATTTATAACCTCCCCAAGTGTATTCTGTCACTTGCGCCTCGCCCGCGAAGTGGTGCTTCTCTAGAGGCCGGTCCAGTATGATCTCCTCGGATTGGGAGCTTCGGGGGATGGAACGAAAAAGAGAGCTAAACTAAACTGATGGGATGCTCTCACCCCTCAACCCAAAAACAACCACATGCCTCTGTCCTACAACCTCCCAAGTCTACTCCCTAAACCCCAAACCCTAAATAAACCCGAACCCCCAAACCCTAAACCCTAAACCCTAAACCCTAAACCCTAAACCCTAAACCCTAAACCCTAAACCCTAAACCCTAAACCCTAAACCCTGAACTCGAAAGATCTTCGCTGGCACTACGAGTCGATGCCGCCGCACGCCGAGGCTCTGTGGAGGGCGCGTAGAAGACGACGCTTGTGATGATGCGCCGCTCGGTTTGGGTATCCTTACCCCAGGGGGTCGCTGGCTGGATCTGCAGGTCTACACTAAGTTTAGGGTTTAGGGTTTGGGGGTTAGGGCTTAGGGTTTAGGGTTTAGGGTTTAAGGTTTAGGGTTCAGGTCTAGTGGTGTTGTCAAGTTTCGGGGCTTCTTTGTGTTGATTTGAGGTCTGCTCGACAGCGGCTCCTCCCTAGGTATCTTTGAGAATAGTACTTCAGCATACTATCCCGAGAAAACGGCACTCGCAAGCACACCAACCCTGGGAAACGAAGGAACTCTCAACTTGGGGTCAATATACCCTAGACTGCTATAATTCCTTTTAAGGTGTCTGAGCCATAACCCCTTGTAGAAACTTTGGGCAACCAACATGACCCTGACAGGCTGAGCTGCAATCACAGGGCAGCAGGTGTGCCGGGACGACCCTGGAACTACCAGCTGAGGACGGTGAAATCTTGATCGCCTTTGCCGGCTATCTGATGTAGGGGCCTTAACAATTAGAATAGGGTTTTTAGAGGTTATTACCGTATATATTTATACAGGGACCTTAAGGGAATATTATCAATCATTCTTTCGACCCCCTCCCCCCCCCCCCCCCCCAAACACCCCCAAACACCCCCGGCAAACCAAAGTGCCGCCCTGTGGCGCTCCCGTCCATATTGGGGTACTCGTTCGTCGTGAGCAGGATCTCGCCCCCAACCGGCCAGTCACCGACGTCCTGCTGGACCTCGTTCATATGGGGATTGATCTAAAGGTCCTTCTGGTAAATTATTTGGGGTTCCTCTTGGTTCGTGAGGGAAATATATAGTAATTTAGGGTAAATTAATGCGGGTTCCTCTTGGTTTGTAAAAGAAATATAATAGGCCACTGTGTTGGGGGGAGGGGGAGGGGGCTGCCCTCACTCTCGAAGCCAGCAAAAAGGGCACGCAAGCCCTCATGTTGTGCACTCATGCCTGGTCGGCTCGACTGCGCTGGCACACATTGGCGCCTGCTTGCCGAAGTTTCGCAGAACCGGAGCAAACCCTGAACCCTAAACCCTGAAACCCAAGCCCTAAAGCTCAGAGGAGTTAAGGGTAGAGGGTTTAGGGTTTAGGGTTTAGGGTTTAGGAAGTCAGAGGAGTTAAGGGTTTAGGGGTTCGGGGAAGTCGGACCCTGGCTGCCTTCGAGGGATGAAAACGAACCCAGCGACAGGGTTTAGGGTTTAGGGTTTAGGGTCTAGGGTCTAGGGTTTAGGGTTTAGGGTTTAGGGTTTAGGGTTTAGGGTTTAGGGTTTAGGGTTTAGGGTTTAGGGTTTAGGGTTTAGGGTTTAGGGTTTAGGTGTTTAGGGGTTTAGGGGTTTAGGGTTTAGGGTTTAGGGTTTAGGGTTTAGGGTTTAGGGTTTAGGGTTTAGGGTTTAGGGTTTAGGGTTTAGGTTAGGGTTTAGGGTTTAGGGTTTAGGGTTTAGGGTTTAGGGTTTAGGGTTTAGGGTTTAGGGTTTAGGGTTTAGGGTTTAGGGTTTAGGGTTTAGGGTTAGGGTTTAGGGTTTAGTGTTTAGTGTTTAGTGTTTAGGGTTTAGGGTTTAGGGTTTACGGTGTAGGGTTTAGGGTTTAGGATTTAGGGTTTACGGTGTAGGGTTTAGGGCTTAGGATTTAGTGTTTGCAGCCTAGAGGTCGAAACCGCAAGTAGTTCTAGGCCCCTGGCTCGAATGAGCTGTTCTCCTGTGCCATTCAACAGAGAGGGCTAGGAGCTTTGAAGGTTCAAACGAATTTCTGGCTTTAGGGGTTATATTAGGGGGTTGAAGGCGAGGGTTTATGGGTTTACCTGCGGTGGAGGGCTGCAATATTCACTTGGGGGTTTTTGGGCTGAGTAGGACTGAAGCCTGGCAGGGTTCAGGGCTTCGGGGCTTAGGGCTTAAGGAGTTTCAGGCTTACGGTTTACCGTTGCCTTCGAATCCCGGAGGCCAAGCCAGCCCCCGCTGTCGACCAAGAAGGCGGAACCCTGAAAAATCTGCGCCCCAAATCCCTTAAACCCCAAATTCCCTTCGACCCCAAACCCCGCAAACCCTGAATCCCTGGCGCCCTAAACCCTCAAAACCCGAAATTTCTTGAGCCTCATAAGCCCTAAAGACAAGCAGCCAAAAAGCAAGGCGCCTGGTCCCGCCGTACGGAACAGGTCGCCCCAGGCATGGCTGTAGGGGCGGCCGTGGAGGCTCACGTTTCCCTGCGGCGAAAGTAGCACAGTCGCTCAGTGCATGCACGTGAGCACAGGTGTGGGGTTCAGTTGTTTGCTATTCTTCTTGTTGAAGACTATGTAATGTAGCTGTACTATCCCCTAAAAGTGTTCTACAAGCCGCGGATCATGTCGGGACACTGTGTGTCATCTCAGTTTATTAACGCACATGGCTGCCTGTATGCGCAGCATAATGCCACCCGCACAAATACTACGTGAAACCGCCCCATCGGCACTTATTCAGAACCTGTACGCACAGCCCGCCCAGTCTCCCACCCTGTGCCGATTCATCCCTCAGCGTCCTGATCTAGGCCATTGGGAAGGGGCGTGCTCTCACTAGGGCTTCTGTTGCCTTCTCTCTTTCGCTCCCTCTCCCTTCTGCCTCGGTGGATCTGTCAGAGCTGGCGCGTGACCTTTCCTATCCCTAAACCCTAAACCCTAAATCCTAAACCCTAAACCCTAGACCCTCCAACCGCCAAGGCCTCGTACACGCCGAAGACCTTCTTTCCCCAATCGGTGTTCAGCGAGACATAGGCCGGGCTCGAGTCGAAGGTCACCTCGGATCATGGGGGGTTCAGGGGGTAGGGTTTAGGGACTGAGGGGTTTAGGGCCCTAGTATCCAATACGCCATAATTCTGCAACATCCTATAATGGGAACATGTATAGCATGTATAGGGGGAGGGAGGATGGAATCGGTGTAGGGTTGCGGTTTGGGGTTTAACAAGGTTGAGGGGTTTGGGGTTTAGGGCTTAGGGTTTAGGGGTTTAGGGGGGGGGGGGGGGGGGACCTTCCATCTTCCTGTCATGGGAAACTGTAGAAGCATGGAGGCATCACACCTTTGCGGCTAGGGCAGCTCCATTGAAAGCAAGGCGCCCCCCAAAAGGAGATGATGGCGGCTGTTCTGTGAGGTGCCCATGAAGTACCGACTTGAAACTGGCCTCACGCAGCATCCGGCGGCCGTTTGCTACTAAACATAAGGCTCCGCACAACAAGGCCGGACAGAAAGATTCCCCACCCCCCCCCACCTCTCTCCATGTGGCGTTAGCCCACGCTTGAAATCATCGTTGTCTGACTTAACCCAGTCGGCAGACTGAACCCTGAACCCTAAACCATCCAAAACCCATACACCCTAAACCCCTAAACCCCTAAACCCCTAAACCCCTAAACCCCTAAACCCCTACACCCCTACACCCCTAAACCCCTAAACCCCTACACCCCTACACCCCTAAACCCCTAAACCCCTAAACCCCTAAACCCCTCAACCCCTCAACCCCTCAACCCCTAAACCTCTAAACCCTAAACCCTAAGCCCTAACCCTAGACCCTAGACCCTAAGCCCTAAACCCTAAACCCTTAACCGCCAAACCCTCCGCCCCTAAACCATCTTGACCGATAGCTCGCAGCCTCCTGCAAAGACTTGGATGGACTTGACCAGTAGCTTCAGGCCCTCCTCCTCCTCGGGCTTTGAGGCTTAGGGTTTAGGGCTTTAGGGTTTAGGGATTAGGGTTTAGGGGTTCAAGCAACAAGCCCAGATTGCGGGTAGCTTGAGGACAAGCAGAGGATTTAGGGTTTAGGGTTTATAGGGTAATAGGGTAATAGGGTGATAGGGTTATAGGGTTATAGGGTTATAGGGTTGTAGGGTTGTAGGGTTAAGGGTTCAGAATTGGGTTTGGGTTTAGGGTTCAGGGCCTCCAGCGTAAGGTGTAATGTCGGCTGTATTGCTCGCAGTTCAGGACGTAGGGCTCTCAGCGTCATCAGTGACCAAGAAAAGGGTACCTATTTGAGACTTTTCACGCACTCGCCCTTGCGCCTAATTGCGGCCAACCCTCTCAGCTCAAAAAACAAATGGATTGGCCTTTCCTCTGAGATGATACCCCATTTGAGGTCTGGGGCTCCAGTGGTACTTGTAGGACAGGGTTCAGGGAAAGCTGATAAACCACGAAGACCGGCGCCAATGGCTCACAAAGACCCTCAAACTCAACACCTCATAGCCCGACCTACCCCCTAAACCCTACACCCTACACCCTAAACCCTAAACCCCAAGAGGTTACCTACAAGCCAGGCATCGGCCATGGACAGCTTTCCGTGTATCTTCAAGTCGCCCACCTGACTCGAGGGGCTTCTAGGGCTTCTGGGGCTTCTAGGGTCGTAGGGTCTTGGAGCTTAGGGTAGGGTTCGGGTACAGGGCGGAGGGGGGGGGGGCTTCGGCTTGGCTGCGGTTGGGGTTCAGGACCTTGATTGCAGGGCTCTTAGGGACTATGTGCGTACGCAACACAACCTTGAGCCTCAAACCGTGAACCCCAAACTTCGCCAACAGGATCGGATCGACCACTGTGCCTGTAGACTCATTTGGGGTTTTCCGATACTGAAATGCCAGTCATCCGAAACCCTTGACCCACAACCCGAATCCCGGCACTTCAGGAACTGGTGCAGACCGAGGAGCAGGTCCAATGGCCGTGAAGTTGTTGTAAACGATGTGGAAGTAGGGCGGAATCGTCTGTCAGTCACAACAACCATGCAGCTGTGGTGGAAGATTTCGGGTTCAGGTACGGGAGTTCGGGTTTCGGGCTTAGGGGTTCGTCGTTGCTACACTACCAGAGAGCACCCTCGCATTGTCCACATTGCCTTGCGCAAGGAGGGAACCCTTCATGTTTAGGTCTAGATGATGGTGGGGTGGGGGAACCAAAATAGGCATGCAATTTAAATCAACCGTAAGCTTTTTAAACCCTAAACCCTTAATCCGAAACCCTAAGCACTAAACCCTGAACCCTCCTACACCCTGAGCCCGAATGAGCTCAAACCCGGAACCCTAGACCACGAACGGCCACGGCTCGACTGAGAGCCGCACGACCAGTGTTTCCACTCCCTGTGGCAAGTTCCGACCTGCTCGAAGCCAATGAAGGGTCTGGGGTTTAGGGTTCAGGGCTTGGGGTTTAGGGTTTAGGGTTCAGGGTTTGGGGTTTAGGGTTTAGGGTTTGGGGTTTAGGGTTTAGGGTATAGGGCTTAGGGCTGAGGGCTTTGTAGCCCGTAGTGTGATTGAAGATTTGTTGAGGGCGTTGAGTCTAGAGTTTGGTCTTTTTTTTGCTGATGCGTGGCGTGGTCCGGTTTCGGGGCGGCAGGTACGAGAGGCTTCGTCCACGCACCCAAGCTCTTAGCCCCACAACCCTCGACCCCCAAGTGCGTCCAACACTGATCACTGTAGACTGCCCTCACAGGAAAGAAAGATCGTACCACCGCAAGGGTTTCGGCCTGCTAGGGACAGGCAGGATGGACAGGGAGTCAGTAAGGACACGGCAAGTTCTCTATACATCTTTTAAAGGCCCTTTCTTGGGTCCAGGCCCCCGGTTTCTTGGGATACTTGCGGTACTCAAAGTACCATGAGTTGGAGCCCCAGTGAAGTACGTTGGGCTCAACAATAGGGTGAGAATGGGCTGAACGCGCAGTAGCTGGGCTGAAGCCATAGCTCTTCTGATGTCCGCTGTGTGTGTCGCAAGCAGGAGCTTGTGTTTAACTGCTGCTGTCCTTAACACAGGACGCCAAATGAACCCTAAATTGGAATCATAGACCCTAACTCCTACAAATCCTGTTACGGTGCATATATATATATGTGTGTGAACCAGAAACCCTTTCAGCATTCCATGGTCCCCTGGGCATGAGCTGTTGCCTGGCCATGATTCTGGCAACGTCCAGTTTCCAGGCGGGCCCAAGACCACACGTGCCTGCCAGCAAACCCTAAAGCCTAAACCCTAAACCCCCGAAACACTCTACCTTGCGGGTGGGGTGGGACGTTCTTTCGGTAGTTGCACGGTCCCTCAGTACGGGCCCGACAAGGGGACCCCGTTGTTTTTCATCTTTTCGTACCCCTGATATTTGAAGAAGGTATGGGGGCCGTTACTAAGGGACCATGAAACTACTACCCTAAGAGACATCCTAAACCGAATCCCACCCGCTAAGCACCTGAACGCTCACTTTTTTTGGAGTTAGGGCTTCTGCGGCTTTGGGGCTCATCTGGGTTTAGGAATTAAAGGGATTCAGGGTAGCAAGGTTTCGGTCTTTAAAGTTGGGGGCTTTAGGGTTTTAGAGTTTAGGATCTTGTGCACCTTATAAACCTGTGCCCTCAAATCCCAAACCCTGAACCCAAAAGCTGACCCGCTGCCTCCTCGACAAAAGCGCAGCCGCCTTCTCCGCAGCCAGTGTTCACCTGGGTCACATCCACCAACACCCCAAGTACCCCTTGATAGTAGGGTATATAAGTCCCCTTGACTACAGGGGAGTTGGAGGGTGCAAGCAGGCAAGCGATTTAAGGCTGAGGAGTTGGGGAAGTTTCTAGGTGTTCTGCTTGGTACGTTCAGGTCCACGTGTGAACATCTCGTGACCTGAACCAAGTATCGAGCTTGTCACCGGCAGGTTCACAGTAGCCTAGGAATCAGACGAACACCTCATTGTTGTGCTTATGGCGGCAGGGGAACCGAGCACCAGCAACAAGCAGGGGAACCAAGCACCAGCAAAAAGTGAGCATGGTTTTGGTGCCCTGGGCCTGGGGCGCACTTGGGATGTGCAGGCGAAGCTCAAGCCATCCTCGTCCGGAGCCTCCAAGCCTAAACCTCAACACCCTGAACGAAGTCGAGTTCCAGTCGATCTTCCAAGCCCTCAAACACTAACCTTCAACCTAACAACAACCTAAACCGTAAAGTCCTCACACAAATCTCAAAATCCATCTGCCAGGTGGCCAGGTCTGCCACCATCGGATCTTGGTACCTCCCTTGCGGCCGGTTTCCCATCCTGCAAAAACGTCGGGTTGAGGTTTAGGCTTTCTCCTGACACTGCACATTGGCAACCTAACTTCGCAATTCAGCTCGGCAGGACCACTTTCAAGGGAACCGGCAGTCTGACAAGCATCGACCGAACACCAGTGCTGCTGCGCCACACGACAGTTAGCGTCCCATTCGCGAAGAGCGATGCGTTCACCTGGGTTGATGCTTCAGAAGGCTAGGGGGAGAGCTGTGCAAGCCCTCTATGCGTCGAATTCCGACACAGATCCCGAAGGACAATCTCGCAACGTGCTCTGCTCTGTATGGCGGCCCCTCGCGCCCAAAGGACCCAGGTACGTCATGCCATGCCCGTCCCTAAACCCCTAAACACCCCTAAACCCTCAAACCCCTAAACCCCTAAACCCTCTAACCCCCTGAGCCCTAAATCCTAAGCCCTAAACCCTGAACTCTAAACCCTGTCTTCACCCAAAAGGGCCCCCCGGCAAGTCCTAAAATCTGAACTCAAAACCCTCACTTCACCTACTAGGCTGCCGAGTAACCTAGGCTTAAAAAGGGTGCCCTTTTTTGCTTAAAGGTGTTTACAAGGGAACCTAAACCCCCCAAAAAGGGAATCATGGTACTACTGGGCATCCTAGCCTAAAAGGGCCCCCCGGTAAGTCGTGCACCATGTCAGTTCGGTTGGTCCAGCCGATCACAGGCCCGTTCGGCATGCAGGGACCGAAGCTCAGGCCGGAAGCCCTGCCAGTAGGGCGGGTTTAGTTAGGGTTTAGGGTTTCGGGTTTCGGGTTTCGGGTTTCGGGTTTCGGGTTTAGGGATTAGGGTTTAGGGTTCAGCCCTCCCACTAACATGAAACCCCCACTACCCCCTAATGTTACAAAACCCATGCATAACTATACTCAAACACTTTAAAATTAGGGGGTAGGAGAGGGCTTAATATTAGGGGGAGGGGTAGGCGTTTAGGGCTGGGTTTAGAGGGCTTCCCCCATCCTGATGCTGCCAAACTTACGACACGCGCAATCTAGCAGCCAGCTAGAAAACACGTTTGAATAGAAAGTGGAAGATGACAGGGGTATGAAGTGGGAGAAAAGCCACTGGCTCAATCCCCTTCGATCGTCCGAGAAGAAGGAGAGAAGCCCGGCCTCTCACACATCTCGTAGAGGAATGAAAGTGCTGCACACCCTTGGCTTGGGAAGGCCGATGCTGGGTGTTCAGGAACTTATACCAGGTACCGCAGTTTTGGGTGTAGAGTTTAGGGTTTAGGGTCTAGGGATTAGAAATCGCAAGCAACATGGAAAGGCTCTCCCGCAGGCGCCGGACAGCGACATTGTGGTGTCGGCAGGCGACCGCCCTGTCCCGTTGCCACCCCCAGCGGACGCATTAGCCCATTTATGCTCCGCTGTCATGCGCTTCGACCCTGAAACATGTTGGCCTAAACGGTGGCAAGACCACTGTCACGCCTAAAGTCTGTGTTGCCCCACACCCGGCCAACGGTGTGAGAGGATGCTGGATGTGCTGCGCGCACCGGGACTGGCGTCCTCTTGGGTAGCGCGGTGGCAGCAAGAGAAGCGAAGAACTTTCGCACGATGAACTTTTCATCGCAAGACACATGCCCCGACTGCAGTAAGCGGCGCCCCATGATATGCATACATTCTTAAAGTTTTCGTGTTCTGGTAGCTTACATGTAAGTTCCTGAGCAGCAACTCAGAAACGACACCAACATTGGCTCATGTGGTATAAGGATTGTGACTGTATCGCCACTTAGTTCCTTGCAAGGTCACGAGGTTAAGGTAACCCACCCTGCTATGATGCTGACCACGAACAGTGATACAAGGTATTCCCACGGCTTAGGGTTTCTATAGGGTTGACCAGTTCAGTAGGCTTTGTGCTTTAGGGTCTAGGGTTAACCCTAATTCAACCCTGAACCTGCTAGGTTTTCGGGCTGCCATAAAACCACTGCGCTGCGTCGAGATGCCAAAGCGTGGCTCAGGGAAGATATTCAGGGCGCGCAAGGGCGCTGCCAGTGGAATGGTGGTTGAGGTGCTGGTAGTGGTCGTCGTCATGGTGATCGTGGTCTCGGTTGATGTGCTCGTCCGTGTCCCTGTTGGGCAACAGGGGTCTCCAATCGCAAACCTTGACCCGGATCCTTACTCGCGAGCCTGAGCTGTCACCTACTTAGGTCCCTGCTTGCCCTTACTGGAGCAACTGCTTCGCATGTTTAAGTCGAGAATGAAACCACCACGCCTAGGTATGTTGTCGTTGTTGTTGAGGAGGTCCGGGAGGTGGTCGTCCGAGAAGTGGTTGTTGTCGACAGGGAGGTTGTTGAAGTGGTAGAAGACTGCGTCCCCGAGGTTGTGGAGCCTAAGGGAAGGCCAGAAGCCCCGATGCACACCCGCTGTTCAAAGCGCGAAGCTGAGGAGAAAATAGAAACACAAAACGATGCAAGGTTAGGCACTGTGAAAGCACAGGTCTTCTCATGCCTCCAGCTTGCACTTTCTCCTTGCAGCCTAGGTACTGGAGGTTGCCGTCGCGGAGGTGCTGGTCGTGGTCGTTTCTGTGACGGTTGGAGGGGTTATGTTTGTGTCGTTGCTGTCGTTGGTGTCGTTGGTGTCATTGAAGTCATCTTCGTCCGTCTCGGTGGTGGTCACGGTGCTGCTGCCTGACAAGGTTGCGCTGGTCCAAGTGGTCACAAGCTGTAGCCGAGTGAAGGCTACAAAAACAGCACTCCTCAAAATTTTGTGTAGACACTGAACAAAACCCTAAACCCTAAACCCGAAAACCTAAACCCTAAACCCTAAACCCTGAACCCTGAACCCTGAACCCTAAACCCTAAACCCTAAACTATCTCCATTAAGCCTGGGCACTTGTTGATTGGGAGGTGGTCGTGGAGGTGAAGGAAACGGAGGTGGAGCTGGTGCTGGTAACCTTAGTTGCTGAGTTCCTAAGCCCCCAAAAGTGTACACTTTCAGTTCTGTAGGTGATTCTAAACCCTAAACCCTAAACCCTAAACTATCCCAAGAAGTGTACAGTGTACTCACTCAGCTACTAAGTAACAGAGGAGGTGGTGGATGTCATGGTACTTGTGAAGACCACCTCCGGGATCCAAAGGCTGTAGCCACCTCGGGTTGAGGATGGTTTAGGGTTTAGGCTTTAGGGTTTAGGGTTTAGGGTTTTGGGGTTTAGGGTTTAAGGTTTCGGGTTTAGGTACAGGGCAGCCCATGTAAAGGGACTTTCCAGGCCGAAACATCGGGATGCTAGTCATGAAATTTCAGATGAGCCACCCCGGTCAAGCCAGTCAAAATATGGCTCGAAGCACGAGCCTGAAATTCCACTGGACTCAAAGAGCCGTACCGGGGAGTAGCTGTACCTCGTGCGGGCACGCGGGCAATGCGTTGGCCAGGATCCTACTCCTACTCCTTGCAGATGGCTTCAAGATAGCAGAGAACTGTGAGAGTCTCCTCTTGCAATCAGCAGCCCACAGCCCTACATTTTGGGGGGTTTTGGGTTTGGGGTTTCGGGTCTAGGGTTACAGCCAGCCCTTCTAGAGTTTTTGGGTTCTCGGGCGTCGAGGGTTACGGCCAGGCGGCGGGAAGTGCAGACCCACCCACTCCGTGGCTAACATGAGCCCCGGTGAGCCGAAACTGATCCGCATCTTCTGGAAGTCAACGTTGCCTGGGCACTGGGGAGCTTGGAAAGCCAGCAGGGTTTAGGGTTTAGGGTTGAGGGTCTGGGGGTTAGGGGGGGTACATCCAGAAATGTTCGTCTGCCCCTAACATACCCGGAGACACGACTATCTCTGCTGTAGGACACCACCCCCCTTGCCCGAATTTTCGGACACCCCCTAGCCCAGCAGGCGTCGCGTCATGCGCTGTAATGTCGATGGAGATCCCTGCGATTGCCGCCAAAGGAAAGGAAGTTCAGAAATGCTTGACGACAACCTTCCCCGGCCCTTAAGAGCCCCACAACAGGCCTAGCCCATGCCGGACAAACCCCAAGCTCCAGACACCAAACCCTACACCCTGGACCTCACGAGGTTCAACGGGTCTAGGGGTTTGAGGGTTACGAGGTTGTTCTGACGGCTCGATTTGGGGCTTTAGGGTGCCCAAGCCCCGAGAAACAGGAAGGTGAGGAAGGTTGGGTTTAGGGCTTAGGCTTTAGGACTTAGGGTTTAATTTAGGGTTTAGGGTCCCTAGACCCCTAAACCCGAAAGAATCGATGTGCTGGCACGCCCTGCTGGGTTTCGCGACGCCAAACCAAAGCCACTCCGTGCGACCAAGGCTCTGTCGGGACGCAACCTCATGCTGAGAACCGAGTAGGGCTTAGGGGTTCAAGTTTAGGGACCCTAAACTGAAAACCCTAAACCCTAGACTTTAGACCCTAAACTCTAAACCCTAAACCCTGGACCCTAAACTCTGAACCCTACAAACCCTAAACCCTGCAAACCCTAAACCCTAAACCCTACTAATCCTAAACCCGCGAACAGTCATGAATCTTCGAGTGGTAGGACTGCTCCGAATTCGGTGGGGTCCATGTTTTGACACCTTTACGCTAGAAGAGCTCAGGGTGTAGGCGTTAAAGGCACCATAAGAGGTGTAGAAGAGCCCCCCCCCCCCCCCCAGGTTACAGCCGCACCCTTCAACACATGGCGTCCATATCCCAAGGGTGTAGGGTGTGGGGTTTCGGGCTTAGGGCTTAGGGCTTAGGGTTTAGGGTTTAGGGTTTAGGGTTTAGGGTTTGAGGGTTTGAGGGTTCACTTTGAAGCCCCAACGAGCCATAGATCGTTCCACCCCAGCATCCTCTTCCCGGCTACGCGTTCAGCTACAGCGGCTGTGGTGCCATGCACCGTACAGTTACAGTTCGGCTTATGACACACCTTCCTTGATGATTAACTCTACTTAGAGCTGCCTGCGAGTTGGGGAGGTCCATAATCTTTCGAAACCCTCAACTGCCCTAAGCCCTGAACTCCTAGACCCCTAAACCCCCTCAACCCTGGCACCAAGGAGCCTTGGTAGCCCTGAAACCATGTGAAAATAAGGGCACCCTTTTTGGGCTGGCTATTTCATACGGGAACCCATAACCCAAAAAAAGGTAAAGGGTGCCACTGGGCACCAAGGAGCGTATACCAAAACGGCACCCGGCGCCACTCGATCGGGGTCGGCCCGGTTTCGGCCCACCGTCTGGTTGGCCAAACGAGCTGATCCTGGGACTTCGCCGACACGACCTGGGCAAGCCCCAAGGTCTTTTAGGGTTTAGGGTTTAGGGTTTAGGGTTTAGGGTTTAGGGTTTAGGGTTTAGGGTTTAGGGTTTAGGGTTTAGGGTTTAGGGTTTAGGGTTCAAGGTTTAGGGTTTAGGGTTTAGGGTACAGCATCTCTGATCCAAGCATTCACCAAGGGTGTTTGGCATCACCCCACCCACCTAGAATCCCTTTCATTTGTCAACCTTATCTACCATTTCATTTCTTACTGCCTCAGAAAGGCCCTTAAACCCTAATGCCTAAGTCCTAAGTCGTAAAAGCTGCAGAGCGGGCCCCCCGAACTCCAAATCCTAAATCTTAAAAGCCCAGAGAGGGCCCTGAACCCTAAATCCTAAGTCCTACAGGCATTACCCCAAAGCACCACCGCAGCCCCAAATAGCGTTAAATTAACCCAAAAAGCTTCAAAAAAAACCCAAAAAGGGGGGAGCCTGGTATTTGCCTGCTCCCGCAATGAAAATGCTGATTGTTAGTACTGAATGGTATTTGCCTACTCCCGCAATGAAAAATGCTGTTTTTAGTACCGGAATCGACGGTTTCGGGACCCCTCCATTACCCCAAAGCACCACCAAAAGCCCCAAAAGGTTTAACAAAGCCGGGTGTGCCGGGGGCTCCCCGGGACAGCTGTCCTGGGGGCGTCCCGGGGGGGAGGGACCCGGGACGCCCCAGGACACTCCAGGACAACCTGTTTGGGGGCCACGGGGCAACCCGTCCCGGGGGGGCCCCGGGACAGCCCATATTAGGATTTAGGATTTAGGATTTAGGATTTAGGATTTGGGATTTAGGTTTTAGGATTTAGGATTTAGGATTTAGGAACCACGAAACCACAAAAAAACAAGACGACCCCATTAAGGTTTAAATATATACAGGTAGAGAGGGTTTAGGGTTTAGGGTTTAGGGTCTATATGGTTCCCTAAAGCCTCAACCCCCAACCCTCAACCCTCGGGCTTCAGGGTTTGGGGGTTTAGGGCTTCATTAGGCCTGAAGATGATTGAGGGACGTCCTCATTACCTAAACCCTAAACCCTAGACCCTAAACCCTAAACTTTCCACACAGGCGCAGCCATGTGCCAGCCGTCGCGGTAAGGCACGCTGCCGTGTCCAAAAATGGTCCACGCCGTCAGATCTGTCCTGGGAGCGGACAAGGGCTGCCCCTGTTAAAAGCCATTCAAAGGTTTAGGCTTAGGCTTTAGAATTTAGGTTCGGGTTTAGGGTTGAGGGTTGAGGGTTGAGGGTTGAGGGTTGAGGGTTGAGGGTTGAGGGTTGAGGGTTGAGGGTTGAGGGTTGAGGGTTGAGGGTTTAGGCCATAGAATCGCCCTTTAACCCAGCCAAGCCTTCTTAGCTGCGCCACATACCATACCTTGCATGCCCCTACAGCAAACTCGGTGTAGGAAACGGCGCCGTAGACCCTACACCCTGACCACCTAAAGCCCTTGCTAGCCAGGCGGCCCGACTATCTCTGCCGGCTCGATGCCTGCTTGGATCAGCTTGGGGGGAGGGGCTTCAGGTTCAGGTGTACCTGCACCCCTCCAAGCACAGGGCTGGTAGGCACCCTAAACCCTAAACCCTAAACCCTAAACCCTGAACCCTGAACCCTGAACCCTACACCCACCCCTGACCCCTGCAAGTTTGGAGCCATAAACTGCCTGTTAAAACACAAGCGCACTCTCCTCGGTTCGCGGCTTCGGGTTTAGGGTTTAGGCTTTAAGGTTTCTGGGGCTTGTGGAGGTGAGGGGAGCCTTCAACCCCCACAATATCTCCGGGGCTGGGGGGGATTTGGGCCTACCCTTGCCCAATGTCTATTCTGGGGCTTCCCATGAAGTATGAAACATATAGGGTTGGGGGGGGACCTTGGCCTACTTGTGTGGTTGTACCCGATTCTGGGGCGGGGGGGGGGGGTTGTTGGAACCTAAAAGTTTGGCCTTCAGAGCAGGGTTTTGGGGATTGGGAGAGCATTAATATATAGGAACCAGAACCCTCAAACCCTAAACCCTAAACCCTAAACCCTAAACCCTAAAACCCTAAACCCTAAACCCTAAACCTTGAACCCTAAACCCTAAACCCTAAACCCTAAACCCTAAACCCTAAACCCTAAACCCTAAACCCTAAACCCTAAACCCTAAACCCTACACCCTAAACCCTAAACCCTAAACCCTAAACCCTAAGCCTGTCTGGCCTGTGATGTGAAAGGGCCGGATGAAGATGCTCGAGTCGCAAAGGAGCCGCAAGTTCAGCGCCTCGCGCGCCCATGCAAGCAAAGAGGCGGGGGCTTCAGCTTGCTGGGTTTAGGGTTTAGGGTTAGGGTTTAGCCGCTGCTTGTGTCCATGCTCTTGGTGCAGTTAGCATTGTGTACCACTCCATGGACAGCCCTTTGCACCCTAAACCCTAAACCCTAAACCCTAAACCCTAAACCCTAAACCCTAAACCCTAAACCTAAGCCCTAAAGCCTGAAGCCTAAACCCTTGAACCCTTAAACCCTCAAACCCTAAAACCCTAAAACCCTAAACCCTAAACCCTAACCCTAAAAACCTAAACCCTAAACCCTAAACTCTTGCATTTCAGTGAGAAGCCGGCCTCTGTTCCGACGGTGGTGCAAGCGGAGTGACGGTTGTAGTTCTTATCGCCGGTCACCGAGCCTGGTAGGTTGGCAGGAAGAGGCCAGCTCACTGGGGTTTAGGGTTTAGGGTTTGGGGTTTAGGGTGTAGGGTTTAGGGTGTAGGGTGTAGGGTGTAGGGTTTAGGGTTTAGGGTTTAGGGTTTAGGTTTTAGGGTCTCAGTGCTTGCATCCGAGCTGCGGACTGCCCACGTCTGGGCAAGCCCTCAGACTCAGATCTTCTGGTGTCGTGCAGTGATGTGAGTACAATTGGGCACCTAACCCTAAACCCTATTACTAAACCCTAAACCCTAAACCCTAAAACCTAAACCCTAGACCCTGAACCCTGAACCCTGAACCCTGAACCCTGAACCCTGAACCCTGAACCCTGAACCCTGAACCCTGAACCCTAAACCCTAAACCCTAAACCCTAAACCCTAAACCCTAAACCCTAAACCCTAAACCCTTCCTTTCTTGGCGTCAGAAAAGGATGCATTTGTGGGCTGAAGGCATGGTGAGCATGGTGACAGGGGCTCTGTTGGCTTGGCAAGAGTGCTCCAATGATGCAATATGATTCAAAAGCCTCCGTTCCCCACAGATTCAACGCACTCCGCCCGCAACCCTAAACCCTAAGCCCTAAGCCCTAAACCCTGAACCCTGAACCCTAAACCCTAAACCCTTTCTTTCTTGGTGGCCCGCCTCCTACATATCCGCTGAAGGAGCCATCTAGGTCCGCGAAGATCCCGTACCTTGCTAGGGCAAGAGTCTTAAGGGTTTGCCTACCTTTCCGGCAGTGGGAGTCCATATTATGATATATTAACAATCGAATACTAAAATGTTCGAATACTCACATATTGCACAATACAGTATGAAAAATAACAAGACAGTGATATTCAATACTACTCTAGACTCACATCCAGGACAGCCGCGGAGAAGAAGTACAGAAGTCTCGGACGGGAAGTCGTTTCTAGGAGCTTCAGATCAGATCAGACCGACGCTCGAGTTGAGTGGCGTTGGTCTCGAGTTTAGGGCTGAGGGCTTTGGGTTTAGGGTTTAGGGTTTCGGGTTTAGGGTTTCGGGTTAGGGCTTGGGGCTGAAACCCCTGCATCCTAACACGAGAGCCTCTAGAACCAAGATCATCCTCTGCTGATCCAACAAAGTCAATTTCACAAGAATACCTGACCCAAAGCTCCATTCTAATCCAAACAGGCCCCTCTACTACCCTGTGCGTTAGGGTTCAAGCCCGTCTAATTCAAGCGAGACACCCAGCTGGCTCAGCCGTGTAGAGCTCGACCTTAGACAAGAAGACGAGATGGCAGAGAAATCTCCTCGGGAGGGCAACAAGTGCCCGCCCCCACCCACGAAAAACAAAAACAATCCACACGCCCTTGAAATCTAAATCCCCCCCAACCCTAAAGACACTAACATCCCCGAACTTTAAGCCCGCCAAAACCTCAAATCTCTAAATCCTAAGCCCTTTGCGCGCGAGAGTTGCAAACACACCCAGATCTTCCAAAACCCCTTATTTAAGGAACATACCCTAGTTTACACTAAGGATCCTATGAATTAGGGTATATTCCTTAATTGATGGGTTTTGGAAGATCTTGGCAACTTAGGGTGCTGCAGCGCTCCGGTAGAAGCGTAACTTCTCAACTCGGATGGTGACTGGATGGTCGCCCCCATACCTTGCCGCTTGGGTTTTGCGGTTGGGGATCTCGGTTTAGGGTTTAGGGTTTAGGGTTTAGGGTTTAGGGTTAGGGTTTAGGGTTTAGGGTTTAGGGTTTAGGGTTTAGGGTTTAGGGTTTAGGGTTTAGGGTTTAGGGGGAGGCGGGATTGGGTGGGTGATGAGGTTCACGTATTTCGTAGGGCAGCTCTGGACAAACTGTTTTTGGAACAGTTCGAAGATGTTTTATCCGACCTCAACAACCCAGACCACAGGAAAGAGCTAGACAAAGCACTTCGGCGACTTTTCCATGTCACATGACACACACACACACACACACCTTAAACCCGAAACCCTAAACCCCACAGAAGCAATGGCAACAGTACCTGGTTGCTCGTGGACTCGAGCTAGGGCCCTGGCAAGCAAGGGCTGTTGCCGAGCAGGAAGAAGGTGATGTTGCGAAGGTATCGTCCTGAAGGCAAGATTGGGGTCGCAAGCAACGGGTTTAGGGTTTAGGGTTTAGGGTTTACGGTTTAGGGGTTTAGGGGTTTAGGGGTTTAGGGGTTTAGGGGTTTAGGGGTTTAGGGGTTTAGGGGTTTAGGGGTTTAGGGGTTTAGGGGTTTAGGGGTTTAGGGGTTTAGGGGTGTAGGGGTTTAGGGGTTTAGGGGTTTAGGGGTTTAGGGGTTTAGGGGTTTAGGGGTTTAGGGGTTTAGGGGTTTAGGGGTTTAGGGGTTTAGGGGTTTAGGGGTTTAGGGGTTTAGGGGTTTAGGGGTGTAGGGGTTTAGGGGTTTAGGGGTTTAGGGGTTAGGGTTTGGGGTTCAGTGTTCAGGGTTCAGGGTTCAGGCTTGCTTCCAAATGAAAACTCTGCTGCCGAAGTCGAAGCTTCAGTTTGCAAGTTACGTGGCTTGCGCCCAACTTTTAAGGATTTAGGGCTACAAGGACTGAGACAACCCTAAACCCAAGTTCAGTCAATTTAGCTGATGAACTGAGATGCTGAGCCCAGGCCTCTCAAGATCTGATGACTTAACCCCAAACCCACAATCCTAAACCCTGATTCAAAATAAACAACCAAAATCCTAAACTCCAATTCTAAAAAACAACCTAAAGCCCTAGACTCTAACTCACACAAAACAACCTAAACCCTAAACCCTAAACCCTAAACCCTAAACCCTACACCCCAAACCAAAGCAACCTCAAACGAGCCCCCGGGATCCTTCGTGCGGACTGAGCGTGATCTGCGGCCCCAGGTCGACAGTCGCCCACTGGGCGAAGAAGCGAGTGCCGACAGCCGTCACGTTCCTCGGAGGTCTTGAGGAATTTGTAAACCCCTAAACCCCTAAACCCCTAAACCCCTAAACCCCTAAACCCCTAAACCCCTAAACCCCTAAACCCCTAAACCCCTAAACCCCTAAACCCTGAACCCTAAACCCTAGACCATCAACCCTGTTAGACCCTAACAAGTTTCAGGGTATGATTCGGGTTTTGGGGGTTTGGGGTTTTCGTGTCGGGGGGTTTGGGGGTTTGGGGCTCGGCGAGTTTTGGGTTTAAGGAGGGGGCTACGGGCGCTCATTCTGCTGGGATCTGGTCTAGGGATTATTTTTTTTTTTTTGGGGGGGGGGGGGGGGGGGGGTGTGTTTAGGAAGAGGGCCAAATCTTAGAAGAGAGGAGAGGACGAACTTTCAGAAAATATCCTGTATCCCTATGGTCCACCTGACCAAGACTGCACACCGTGGGTGGGGGGCACCTGCCATCCTAGCCCCGAGAAACCCTACACCCCAAGGGTTTAGGGTTTAGGGTTTAGGGTTTAGGGTTTAGGGTTTAATTTAGGGTTTAGGGTTTAGCTGAAAACGCTTTGCTTGCCGTGGCTCTCGATCCATGGGTCGTCCGTTACCACGGGCGCGGAATCCTCCCAACGTACGCAAGTCTCGCTCACATGTGCTCTCACAAGGGGTTAGGGTGTAGGGCTTAGGGTTTAGGGTTTAGGGTTTAGGGTTTAGGGTTAGGGTTTTGGTTTAGGGCTTAGGGCCTAGGGTTTTACAAGGGTTGGGTGCCCCCATTCATCCCCTTCTACCTTGATGTCTCTTCTTCTTGGCTGTTCAGCGTTGGATCCATATAACCCTGGCATGGCCTCATCGTGGACGCCGTGCGTGGTCTCTACCCAGACGGAATTCACCAGCCGGCACCGGTCACAGGCACGTACATAGAAAGCGTACTGGCTGGCAAAGACCGTGAAGTCAGTGAAGACCTGGCGGCAGTTCGGGGTTGAGCGTTTAGCGTCTAGGGTTTAGGGTCCAGGGTTTAGGGTTCAGGGTTTGGGGTTCTGGGTTTGGGGGTCGCTTCCTGGGGATAGACCCTAAACCCCTAAGCCCTGATCCCTGAATCCGCAAAGCCTACTAGAGGCCCCTGAAGCCCCCTAGTTCCCCTCCAAGACCTACACCGCCCCAAATCACTCAATCCATGGATCCCCAAACCCTAAACCCTAAACCCTAAACCCTAAACCCTAAAACCTAAACCCTAAACCCTAAACCCTAAACCCTAAAACCTAAACCCTAAAACCTAAACCCTACAGCCGAAAGAGCCTGGGAGTTGCCCTGTCGCAGCTCCTGTGGAATGCGCAGCCCATACAAGCCTGGGGGGTATAGGGTTTGGTTTAGGGTTTAGGGTTTAGGGTTTGGGGTTTAGGGTTTAGGGTTTAGGGCTTAGGGTTTAGGGTTTTGGGCTGAGGGTTCCGAGATAGTTGTTGCTTGAGTTAGGGTGGCATGTGGGGAGGGAACTCGGGATTTAGGACTTTTGCGGGATTTGTTGTTTTTTTGGCGCGCAGGGTCCCCCCCTAGCTCCCCCTAAACCCCATGAAGTTGTTCGAAGAACCTACCGGGCTTCGGAGTTTTTTTATGCGCATCCTGTTCTTTCAATGATAGGCTTACGGATCTCGAGGGTTTAGTGTTTGGGGTTATGGGTTTAGGGTTGGGGGGGGAGGGGGTTCTCCTCCTGCCCCGCTGCTGGATTTGACTTTGCAAGTTGGGTACGTCAAGGATTCATCCACATGTGTCCGAGCTGCTGAGTTCGCTGCCAAAATTGGGCTTTGCTTTGAATGTTGTGCAGCGACATTATGTGCTTCTGGGCTTGAGCTTCCGCAAACGTTGGCTTGTATAAGTCCAAGCAGCACCCAGGGCTGAGAGCTTAGGGTCTTAGGGCTAGAAGGCTTCGGATTCGGACTGCCCTAAACCTCCAGAGGCCATCTGCGCCTGCTCTTTGGTCCCGCCTCGGACAGCCAGACTCCATTTGGTTGCACACGCGAACCCTAAGCTTATTCGAACCCCATTCTTCCTTATAAGGGCAATATCGGGATTCTTATATTGTTTTCCTTTTGGTGGAGTGCTTAAGCAAATAGTAGTAAGCCCTAGGCCCAATCCCGATACCCGAAACCCTAAACCCCAGACCCTAAACCCGAAACCCTAAACCCTGACCCTAAGCCCTTGCCAGGGACTGAAACCGTGGTTTTGCCTTTCACCACCAGTTCGTCTAGAAGCAGTCATGGGCCGCGTTTCCCTCAAAGGCCACAAGCGACCAGCGAGAAGACTGCCGGCCTTAGCTCGGGTCTAGGGTTTGGGGTTTAGGGTTTGGGGTTTAGGGTTTGGGGTTTAGGGTTTAGGGTTTAGGGTTTAGGGTTTAGGGTTTAGGGTTTAGGGTTTAGGGTTTAGGGTTTAGGGTTTAGGGTTTAGGGTTTAGGAACTTCTTTATGGGGAGGCTTGTATCACAAGCCCCAGAACTGATCTGCTTCAACAGCAGCAACTATACCCCCTAGGATGTGATATGATCGGGCTCTTGGTTTGGCGTTTAGGGTTTAGGGTTTAGGGTTTAGGCTTTAGGGTTTAGGGTTTAGGGTTTAGGGTTTAGGGTTTAGGGTTTCGGGTTTCGGGTTTCGGGTTTCGGGTTTCGGGTTTCGGGTTTCGGGTTTCGGGTTTCGGGTTTCGGGTTCAGGGTTCAGGGTTTAGGGTTTAGGGTTTAGGGTTTAGGGTTTAGGGTTTTAGGGTTCAGGGCTGCAAGCGAATATTCCTGTTGGTTCAGGATTTACGGCGAAATGAGGCAAATGATCTCCGGAGTGCAAAAGCCCTCAAGCTTCCACTTCTACTTATCCGGCTTCCTAGAGAACTTACTCCCTAAACCCTAAACCCTAAACCCTAAACCCTAAACCCTAAACCCTAAATTCCTCAAAAAAGGGAAACACCCTGAGCCGAGCCCCGTGCCAATCAAGTGGGGGCTTCGGGGGACGGGCTCGGCGTCCTCGCGCGGCTCGAAGCTGAAGCAGGCCTCCGGCACCCCAAGAAAAGGGAATAAGGGCCTACACTGGGTCCTAAGAGTTTCAGGTTTCGGGTAAGGCTTCAGGGTTTTACCAGCCCTGGTACAAAAACTCCCACCACGCTAGTCTTGCGTACATCCGTTAAAGTCCAGCTCAGATGGGATTTGGAGGGCCAGGCGAGTTTAAGTTTGAGGGTTTAGGTTTGCCTCGGCAAGACCCGCCTCTGCTTTCGTGGCGAAGTTGTGGCGGTAGGAGGCCGTTCCTGGGAAAAGGACATGTTGTTGGGTAAACCCTAAACCCTAAACCCTAAACACTAAACCCTAAACCCTAAACCCTAAACCCTAAACCCTAAACCCTGCTCACGAGCCAAGGTTCCTGTCATGATCTTAAAGGCCACCGTCTCCCGCATGAAAGGCAAGCCCACGGCCGACCTGGGAACGGAAAGAGCAAGAGCTTCTAGGGTTTAGGGTTTAGGGTTTAGGGTTTAGGGTTTAGGGTTTAGGGTTTAGGGTTTAGGGTTTAGGGTTTAGGGTTTAGGGTTTAGGGTTTACTCCATAGGTAAGGTCGTTCACGTTGTTCATCCCCGGAGCCTATAAACCGCACACCTTATATAAGCCCTAAACCCTCTAACTCAAAACCTTAAACTCGCAACCCTAAACCCGTAAACCACAACCAACCAAACCCGCAATTCCACAAACTGAACAGCCCAAATAACTATGAAAAAAACAGGGAACCCTGTCTTCATTAGGGGTTCGTAGCTAGGGTAGGGTATAGGTTTTCGGAAAAGAAGCGGCCCACTGGCATTCCCGGATCCCTCACAGCCCCTGCCGAAAGTACCCCTAAACCCAAACCGCAAACCCCACACCTTCACCCTGTACCCTAAACCTAAACCCTAAACCCTAAACCCTAAGCCCTAACCCCTAAACCGCCTCCGTGGCGACACCACTTGGTTGTGCTGCACCGTCAGGGACTCGGTCGAGTTCGCTGCCGCGGCGCCCCTTCGAAGCTCGAGAGCTTTGAAAATGCATAGGTTTAGGGTTTAGGGTGTAGGGTTTAGGGTTTAGGGTTTAGGGTTTAGGGTTTAGGGTTTGCTGTCATAGGGCGTAGATGCTGTGAAGGTTAGGTTTTGGAACAAGCTCGATAGCTTCGTGAGGCGCGAAGAGCAGCTTTGGCCCGATTGTGGAAGGCCATCAAACATTTTTCCACAATTGCTTTCATGTCTGCTCAGTTCCCCCAGCCCACCCGCCATATGACATAAACAATCTGAGTAGCGAACTGCATTGCACCATGTTCACAAGAATGGTCGGAGACGCCATGTCGGCAGGTATCGTATTCGGCTGACTCCATGGCAGCAATCTGGCGTGGATGAACTTTGGTCCAGTTTTCTTCGACGCCCAAACAGCCAGTCATGACATCACGCACAGCTGCAGGGAGCTTGACCCAATCAGCGACATCGCAGATCGTCTCGAGCTTTGCCTTCTCCTCAGGTGTTGGATCCATGCTGCGGCAACTGTTTGTACCACCTGGCAGCCAAAGCTGCCGCCGCAGAGACACTGCAACAGCACTAATCGAAGATGCCAGCTGACAAAAGGACTGCAGAGTTCAGAGGTACAATCAAAGGCACTCACAACCTTTGCCCTCAACATCACTGACATTCGCAATTAATTGTGCCGTGCCTACACACATGCTTCGCTTGTGTTTCACTCCCACCCCACGCCGAGGTGGCAAAGCCACCCAAGCCTATTCCTTTTAGGGGGTTTAGGTCTAAACCGAAGCCAACTGCTGACTTTCCTCATTCCGTGGCCCAGGGGGCCAGGGGGGCGCAGGGTTCAGGGCGGCTCAGGGGCCCCAGCAAACCGAAGGGGGTTCAGGTGGCCTGGGCACCTTGCGTCGAGTTGTCCGGCACCCCCTGGACTGGGGCCCTTGGGGGTACCGCCCCCTCGCTCTCCAGGGTCTGACCTGAGGTTTAGGGTACTTACTTAATTAAGGGAGTACTGGTCCCGAGTTCCGGTACCGGGCCCATCGTGGGCGCCTGGGTGGCCTTGCGCCATCCCCCCAACGTAGGGGGGCGGCCCAGGCCCTGAGTTTAGGCTTTAGGGTTTAGGGTTGAGGGGTTTAGGGTTTAGGGTTTAGGGTTGAGGGGTTTAGAGTTTAGGGTTGAGGGCTTTAGGGCTTCAGGGCTTTAGGGTTTTAGGGCGTTAGGGCTTTAGGATGTTAGGGTTTAGGGAGTTATCCCAAGATAGGGGTTCCCGTTCTACCCAAGTATCATGGAATTCCTGGGGCTTCAAACCATTGGGGAGAATTGTTGCTCGTATCAGCTGGTGGCATGAAGACCCTTGACCCGAAACCCTGATACATGCACCTACAAACCAAGGTCTTTGCGAATCGGGGCGGGATCCTAGATCTAGTAGGGTCCCAGGTTGCCCTAAACCCTTGAACCCTCACAGCGAACTGGACCGCAGGTGGGAAAAAACAGGGGCGGTGACGACTGGCGCCTGGTGGTCAACGTGATGGCCGGACCCACCTCAGGCGATGTTGATCATAAGAAAGGGCTGAGGGTCGAGGATTTAGGTGGTTGGGGTTGAGGATTTGGGGGTGGGGGTTGAGGATTCAAGAGAGGAAAGCCAGGCCCAAACCCTGAACTTACTGCTTCTTAGGCCCCTCCGAAGCCGAATGAAGACCCCGAGCCACCGAAGAGATCACGAGGATGTTCTGCGCCAGCAACCAGGTCTCTTCCAAGCCGGCCTCGATCACGCCGGAGGATGGATGCGTTGTGGGTTTAGTTTCGGGGCTTGGGGGTTGAGGATGTAGGGTTGAGAGCCTGAACATAGGGGCCTTTACTGATTCGAATAGGGTATGTGGGGGGGGGGGGGGGGGGGCTGTTGCAGCATAAGTATATAGGGACCATAAGGGAATACCGACCCCTATTAGGCGTCTAAGGATTTAGGGTCTGCAATTTAGAGGAGGTTTTAAGGAAAATGGGGCTCTGTCTGGGGGCTCAGTGGCTAGGAGGTGTATACAGAGGTTCAAAATTAGGGGGCTTAGGGTTTAGTTTCGGGCTGAGGGACTAGAACTCAAGCTCCCCCCTTGTTGAGTACCCACAGATTCGGAATGGTGAGGCCTCAGCGCCTTCGTCCGACTAACCCTTAACCCTGAAGCCCTGAATACCCAAACCATACCCCTAACCCTAAACCCTAAACCCTAAACCCTAGCCCTAAACCCTAAATTCCTCAACCCCGAAAACAAGACAGGGCGGCCTGCAGGACCAGACCCGGGCCACTGGGATGCTGAAGCAGGCCGTGCTTCACCTGACTTGCGGAACTTTGCCCTGAACTCTAAACTCTAAACCCTGAACAACCTAAACCCAACACAACCTAACCCCTAAACCCTAAACCCTGAACGACCGAACCCCTAAACCCTAAACCCCAAACCCTAAACCCTGAACAACCCCAAACCCTAAACCCTAACCCCAGAACAACTTAAACCGCATGGAGCCCGGCTGCGAAGGCCCGTTCCGGCTCGTAGACGGCTTTGAGGTTGGCGCAGGGAACGCCTCCAGTTCCTCTGCAGCTCCACAAGCCCCCCTAGTTCTTAGTAGGGTTTAAGGGTTTGGGGTTTAGGGTTTCGGGATATATTTACCCTTTCAGGGATTAAACAGGGGGTTTAGGCTTTACGGGGGGATTTCTAGGCGATTGGGCTTTTAGGGTTTTGGGGTTGTGGGGTTTTGGGTTTTGATTTGAGGCTTGGAGTCCTCTATCAACCCGCATTAAGGGTATAGGGGTTTGAAGTACCTAACTGCCTATTCCCTGTTACCGACCCGTACTTCAACTAAAAGAGACATGCACACCCCAGCAAGGAGGGAGCCCTAAACAGGGGCCCTAAATCTTGTTCCCCGATTTAACCCCTTTATACTTTATATAGTCCCCATATACCTAAGTAGCCCCACAGCTTCCCGGAAGGTCCCTTTTATGGGTCCAGGGGTTTTGGGTGTATAGGCTTTAGGCTTTAGGGCTCTAGAAACCAAGTACTACTTCAACCTCGACAAACCTAGTGGCCCCTCAAGGTGAGGCCTCGTGCGGTTTTCTCTGCGGGGCTTTTTGTCTTAGAGGTTCATGGGTAGCCATAACTAGGGTTGTACGTATCGCAAAGTGGGTTATATTTGGCTATAGTTCTATCTAGGGCAATTATAACCCCTAATTGCTTGAACCTTCAACCTCTTAAGACCCTAAGCCCTAAAAAGGGCGAGCTTTGTAAACCCTAAACCCTAGGCCCTACACCAGAAACCCTAAACCGCCACAAGGAACAAGAGAGCCGCATGAGCGCAGTCGGGCCTGTGGAGACACTGCCGCAGGAGGCGAACGTCAAGCCTTCCAGGCCTCAGTGGCTCATTTAGGGTCTAGAGATTAGGGACCAGACTGACAAGAAGCCAGGATGTAAATTGTTGGGAGAATGGCCCCTCATGCTCGGGGTACGTGAAACGGGACCATAATTTCAGAGAGCTGACCCAACGGCCCAAGCCAGTGGGTTTTGGGTTTAAGGTCAGGGTTTGAGGGTTTAGGATCTAGGGTTTAGGTTCTCAAGCTAGTAGGATAGAGAACTCCCTTTGCTCGAGGAGGACGAAGATTGGAATCGACTGTGATTCGACCACAAAGTCGTGCGCCATCGTTGACTGACCAGACCTGCTACGACCCACACTGCACTGCAAAGTGCCCGAGCAAACCCAGGATTCTGATCGCCTAGCAGGGTTGAGGGTTCAGGGTGTAGGGTTTAGTTTAGGGTTGAGTATCTCTAAATTGTACATATGTTCGGATTCTAAAGTGTTCCTGGTGGTATGTATGCTGGCTCCCGTATTACCGGGTTGTGAGGCCTCTCATATTATACGAAGCCCGAAGCCTAAACCCTAAACCCAACACCCTGCCCAAATCCTAAACCCTGAATCCTAAACTGGAGCCGCTCCAAGGGCGGCGCCGCAGGTTCCATCAGACCGCAGGCAATTGATGTGAGCACCCGGTGCATCATCACCTTTGAGAGCTGCAACTCGGATTAGGGTTTAGGGTTTAGGGTCTAGGGTTGAGGGTACCCTCAACCCTAGACCCTAAACCGGGGGTTTAGGAAGGCTCGGTGGTTGAGAGGCTTTTAGGGCTGAGAGAGTTCAGGGCCTAGGGTTCTGAGGCCCACTTGAACGTTCGTTCATGCATAGCTGTAAGGTAGGTTACCCTAGACAGAATTATCATCCAAGTTCCAATAAACTCTAAACCGTAAACCCTAAACCCTAGACACTAGTCTCTAGACCCTAAACCCCAGCTCCTACCCATGAACCTCCATGCAGGGTTTGGGGTTGAGCTGACAACTGCATCTTCCAACTTCTGGCCCGGGCAGGGCAGATTTTTTCGGGCCAAAAACGATAAACCGTAGACCCTAAACCCTAAACCCGAAACCTTGAACCCTAAGCCCTAATTCATAAACCCTAACCCCTACACCCTGAACCCTAAACCCCAAACCCTAACCCCTGAACCCTGAACCCTGGATCGACCGACCACACAAGTCCGGATGAACCCTGAACCCAAAACCCAAAACCCTAAACCCTAAACCCTAAACCCTAGCGCAGCCCAGTGACCATAGAAGTAGGCGCCAGAACCCAAGGCGGCCACGGTTGCAGCCAAGTCGACCTGCAGAATCAGGGTCTAGGGTTTTAGGGCTGAAGGGTTTGGGGTTTAGGGTTTAGGGTTTGGGGTTTAGGGTTTAGGGTTTAGGATTTAGGGCAATTCAGGGCTTGACAGTGTGGGGCAGCAGGTTGATTGGCAATTTGGGGCTTTAGGGTTAGGGCTTAGGGCTGAAAAGTTGATTGGTGTTCATGGGGATCGAAGGCTTCAAGGTTTGGGGTTGAAAAGTCAATGGGCCAATTTCGGGCTTTAGTGTTTTAGGGTTGCGAAGGTTAAGTTCAAGATTTTACGGCTGAAAGGGTGAAGGTTAACATACCCTTAAAAACCACGATTCGATGATTCATCTGGGGCTGAGGGTTTAGGGCTGAGGGCTCGCTTTGAGAAGCCAGCCAACATCTTCCACTTGAGCTCGGGGCTGCAACCCTAAACCCTAAACCCTAAACCCTAAGCCCTAAAACCTAATTACTAAACCCTTAACTCTAAACCCTAAACCCTGAACCCTGAACCCTGAACCCTAAACCTTTGGGATTTGGAACGCAGAACGCGGGGCTTGTCCATGCGTCTCTGGCCTGTCCAAAGTTGAGGATCGTGTCCTGCTGGATTCCTTCCAGGCTCCTGCCAGCAATGTCGATACGCCTAAACCTGAAGTGTGAATTCGCCTCCCCGCCACAATTAGAAAAAATGTGAGCCCCCAAACTTCAATCGTGAATACGACACCCTGCCCCCCCCAAAGACCATCACCAGTCCCTACACCCGCAAGCCCCGAACCCTTAAACCAACAGGTCAAACCGTGCAGCCCAAAACCCCAGACTCTAAAACCCCAATCCCCAACCCCAC